ACAGGTTGACGGCTACACTTTGTATTCCTCAGGCAGCCCCTCCTCACCCCTGGCACAGTGTGTGATCAGGGTCTGCCCTCGCTCCTCACGCTCTGAGGAATGTCTCATTAACTATTACAGCTCTTGTCCTCCGCCTCCCTGGAACACCACAGGTCCATTGTGGATTTGCGTGGTACAGGTAAGGTTTCCTTTAGTAATGTGGTGGAGCTGGAGTGTTGTGTAGGGGGGGGGGGAGTTGGATGTGTTTACCTGTTTGTCTACGGTGAGTGGGATTCGGCTCTAGAGCCCCGCCTCGTATAGTACCTGGTTCATTTATACCTCTCGACAGCCTCGTGCTACTATCATACTTGCTCTTGAAGTTGTGAATGATGGCTGCTTCCTCAGCCTCTGGTTAAACGACTGACGTCTGCAGGTCGCCACCAGTAACAACTTGTTACTCTGTGTGTGTAATTCTTCCAAGTGCTTCGGTACGGCCCCAGTCACACTTCTATTGTGTCGTCTTATCAGCTATCCACCCCGGCTCTTTCTTAAAGACCTGCAATTTCCTTTTAAAATCTTCACTGGCTTCCCCGACACTGTGTAAAGGATGTTCCTACCTTTATTTAAGCTTGTCCCTAAATGCTGCTCTATTCACATAACTGTGCACTAACCTTCCCTGCTTTAGGGAGGTTTGTCATTTTCAAATTGCCGTTCCGTTTCTCCCCAGAGCCCTCGTATGTCATATGAAATGCTTTTAAGAGATCCTGCTCTAGGTTCCTAAATGCTATTCTTATTTCTGACTGTTGCGCATATGTTGATATCGTTTTTAAGTGAGCCTCTGGCTCCCTATCCAATTGTTGCCTGTTTGTTTTTATCTCGTTTGGAGTCACCGTGATTCCGGCCACCCTTGCAGCGATCTTCAATTGTTTTGTGTTGATTATTTTCCCTGAGGTCTGCCATCACGGAGGTGGATGGTGTGGGCCAGTTGGTGGTCCCATGTGTGGGGGGGGGCGGGCGGCCCGTGTGCCTCCACACACACCTGCTCTCATTACCTCCCCTCCACTACCCCCCCCCCACCATGGTCCTTGTGTAGGTGTCTCCCCCTCACCCCTCTCCTCTCTTCCTCTTTCCTTCCTTCATTCCTGCCTTCATTCCTTCCCCCCAACTGACTGAAATCACGGTTAGTTACATTGTGCTGTGTACCCGCTTCCCCGTCCCTTCCTAGAACATGCCACCCCCCCCCCCCCCCCATCCCTCCCTGCCCATTTAACCGACTTTGTGCGACCCAACATCTGGCTATACCGTCTGGTGCTCGCTCCTCCTCTCCCATCCACCGTGGGAGAGGAGGAGGTATATATAATGTAATATACACTACATTACAGGGAGACATCTCCCGTCCACGAGGCTAACCATAGCCCGTGCTTCTTGCCCCGCTCCTGTGCCAGGTAAGTTACGGGCTCACCATAGCCCGTGCTACTCGGAACTTGTTCAGAATAGCTGAATCTATAAAAACAACAACAACTACATTACACAAACGGGAGACATCTCCCGTCACGCAGGGTGCAGTCGCACCTCCACAGATCTCCAGTATCATCTATTGATACTGGAAATGGCTCAAAAGAGGCCACCACTTACGGGCTATTCATGCCTGTGCCACCTTTTGGGTGGCTTAATCTTTATCAATCTTACATTACAATCTCTTGATGTAAAGTGTTGAGGTTGTGCAGTTCTCTCTCACCTTCATGATACACTTGGTTACCTTTCAAACTGTATTCTTGGTCTAATTTGTTGTTTGTTTTGTTAAAGTCTCGCCGCTACAGTTACAAGCTGTAGGTTCGTTACGGCTGTACACGTGACCACTCCAGCCACACCTGTCATGACTGTAATCTCGGTCTAAAAGGACTCGGTTTCCTGGTACCTGCCCGCCTGCCTTGTATCTACCTGTCTCCTTCAGTGGTCCCGTCGGCCATATCCCGCCAACCCACCAGCCGGACATGCCTAACTAGGGTCCCTCACAGGATGAGTATAGGGGTGCATGGTACGGTAATTATCGGGAGAAAGTGTGATTAAGTCAGTAGGTCAATATCGCCCAATGTACAGTAAACTACCGCTCACAGGATGAGTATGGGGGCCCACACTGTACTAGCCGCCTACGGCACAATCTAACCAAGCTACACACTGCAGGTGTTACTCTAGGCTGTAGTTACCAGACCACATGTCTTGACACCTGTCACTCGCGTTGACTCCTGTCACTCGCGTTGTGATGTCACAATTGTTGAGAACGAAGGGAAGTAGTCGTCGTCGCTGGTGTCATCACACAAGGGACCATTCTCACAATCGACTTGAGAATGGTCCAGGACGGACCGAAACGTCGTCGTCCCTTCACCTTCTAGTGTGTGTGGTCTGGTCAACGAGTAGGGATTTTGTCTCCATGTGCTTACCGACCCCATTAACATGGTGTTGGGGACGGACACACGCAAGACCTCAAGGCGCTACACTCCTGGCAACTGTTTGTCTGATTTAATCAAACTTGGCGGGAGTCTCTTGCTTCATAGTACCACCCGACGACACTCCTTCAGTCCACCCTCTCCCGCGGCATTACTCTAAAGCCTCATGTACCCCAGAAATCCTTTTTTTAGTTTCCTTGGTGAAATAGGGATGTCTTAGTTTCAAAAATAAGACTTCCTTTAAGCGACATATCTGCGGTGCGTGTGATTTGTGCTAGAATGATTTAAACAAAAAATTAGATGACTAAAGTGTGGCAAAATAAGATGCACTGTTCCGTCCTCAAGGAATAAATCTTGATTCTTTTGGACCCAGCGGGTAGTTTGTGAGAGTTGGTGAGGCTTGGGGGCGCTAGGTTTTATAGTGTGAGCGTTACCTGGTTGATGGGGTTCTGGGAGTTCTACTCCCCCAAGCCCGGCCCGAGGCCAGGCTTGACTTCTGACAGTTTGGTCCACTAGGCTGTTGCTTGGAGCGGCCGCGTTAAGATGCCAGTGCCCCCACCAACTGTTGCAGACTCACTATTGTTCTAAAGGAAGATTTTTCACCCTGTGTGGAGGAGAGACCGGGTGGCATTGCATCTGTGCAAGCAATTAGCCTTCAACACTCTCTCCTGGATATCAGAAATGTCTTTCATTAATTCCATTCATGGGTTTGAAAGCCTCATCACATCAAGATAAAACTCCTTAGGCTCGACTTGAAATGTGCGTAGTGAGTAAACTAGAAGATTGCCGATGTACTTCTGTATGTAAGAACTGTATGTTGGAAACCCGTATATCGATATGCTCTCTCTCTCTCCTTCATCTGCTGGAAACATACACCACCTAGACTCCCAGCAGGTTCGTTTCCCAGTAGCCTGTCTTGTGCCAGGTAAGTCCACTACGGGCTCACCATAGCCCGTGCTACTTGGAACTTTTTGTTCCCAGTAGGTAAATTTATAACAACCTGGCCTATTGTACCACCAACTGTGTAACTATTTTATTGACTCAGGTGTTCTGGACGACATCCTAACAATTTACCCAAAATTTGCTTGTCCATTTTAAAGAATGAAGAACAATTTCTACTTATATTCTAAGCTGTATCACTTATGAACCCATCCCTGCACTTGTGTGGCAGTGCACAATAGAAAGTTGTTTTCACATATCCACACATTAAAACATTGATTGTAACCGTGATATATATGTGCTTCAGCCTACAGTTTAGGCCTATTGTCTTATGTATGACCCTCTGTCCTGCGTGACAGTGAATACTAGCATTAACCTCAATTTAATAAGACTATCAAAATCCTCAGATTAGGCAAAATTGTAATTAATTTTGTCAATAAAGATGTTAATAATAATAACAACAATCGGTAGCCTGAGGCTTGTTTCTCCGTAGCCTCACTCTTGTAGCCTGGACGTGCGCGCGCTGTCGTGGCCTCAGGAAGACAACATGGAGCAAGTTGTGAGGTGATGGTAGCGGTGGTGAGCAGTAGGTACACACGTGATGTACGGATATTTACCTGTTGAAAGTGGATTAATTTGCCAATATGTTAAAAATAAATCGTCCCTATAGCGACTGTGGACGGAGTATATAAACTTTGAAGTGTTTTACCCTCCGAAATTAATTTTAATACAAAATTTATAATTGTTACGTAGGACTGTTAATTTTTTGCTTTCATATATCTTCTGGGTGTGTTTGTTTGTACTTGTATGATATTGTCCTATGTTGGGCCATTTCCGGGGACAGGAGACGGTCACCACCCGTCTCTTCTCAGTCTAGGTTAAGTTTTCCCACACTGCTTCTGTCATTTTCCTCAGAGGGCCATCTTGTAATATGGATGCTCTTGGACGCATCGGTTCGAATCCTCGTCACGGCCCTTGTGGATTTGTTCATTTGGCCATCTTGTAATATTTCAGTGTTTGGGGGGGGGGGGAGGGGGTTGTAGTGTAGGGGAAGAGAGAACTCATATCTATCCTTTGCGGACGAGTCTATCTCTTGAAAAGTGTCGTTCTCAGCGGCGCCATCCTGGCTGGCGGGGGGCGGGTGTAAGGTATAGGGAATCTCTCACACACACTGACACAATCCGCGCCCAATCTTAAGTGTAATGTTAAACCATTTCTGGTAATCGGTTCAGTATAGTTTGATGTGGCTAATCCCACAAGGCAGGCAGGTTAACATTAAGCCTGGCATTTATGTAATGTAACGCAAATTTCTTAAGCAAAAGTTTATACGTTAATAGGCACTGTCTGTACATATTAATAATTATATTATTAATAATGTTAATATAGCAACAAACATTTTGTCCTGCACCGTTTTTTTTAGTACTTGGGATTATTTCTAAACTGTGTAAAAAAGGTTTGAATAGCATTGCAATTTCTTATTTCATGCACAGGTTTACTAACTATATTTTTTATGGCTTTCGACAATTTTACGATCGTTAATTTGGGCTCATTTAAAATTGTCTTGTAATTTTAAATGAGTCCATTTATTATCATTAGTTTTGTTACCTTCAATATGGGCAATATTTTGTGTTACAGAAGTGTGGTGGTGGTGGAGCAGTCCACGGCTCTTCAACCTGAGCTGAGCCACGCCCGGGTAACGCTGCCTGCTGGCCTGTCTGCTGTGGCCTGTCTGCTGTGGCCTGCGTCCGGCACTCGACACCTTCACCACACCCGTCTATCTGTCTGCACGCTGCTGCTGCTGGGGCCCCACCTCCGTCTACACACACACCACCTGTCCACTCCATCATCACTATGTACAGCACTGCAGGGGTACAGCATCTTGCTGTAATCGTGGCGACTCTTGCTGTATTGGTGTAGACAAGTGTTGGGACTGACTAACGGTGGCGTGAAGTACCTTCAGCTTTGTACTTTAAGTTAACCCGCCTTATTGTGTGCCTCTTGTTTCAAATTCGAGCTTTTAAAGTAGGTTTAAGCGCCTTAAACTTATCTTAAAAATTACCCCCCATTTTGTGCACAAGAAATTTCCTGGGTTAAGGTTCGCAAATATTAAGTAAGATGCTGTCAGTCAACTTGAATTAACTTGAGTGATCATCCTGTGATAAAAAGCAGTCAGTGGCTGTCATACGTCCGTCCGTCGGCCTTAAACGTCCTCCTCTCCGTCTCCTACCGTCACGCGACCTTCTAACCTGGACGTGCGGGCACTGTCGTGGCCACACGGAGACCGTCGAGCAACTAGTGAAGTGATCGACCAGGATTAACCTGGTTCCTTCATGTATGTGATCCCTCTGGCGAGTGCGGGAGGCGGCACCTAACCCAATATTGATCACGGGGCCGTGTCCCCGCGGTACCTAGTGGCCAGGGAGTGCACGTGGCGGGGGACCTGCAGGTGCCGGAGTACTCTAAGGTGTTGTGGTGACTGAGGGACGGGTGACACTGTCCATTCTCCTGTGATTGTTGGTGCTGCTGTGACGCCGGCGTCATGACTGTCACCTACACCAGCCAGGTAGCCACCTGCAGTGGCTTCGGCTGCTTCTGGAAGCTTCTTTTCAGGTATGTTAGCAATTGCATGCTTTTGGTTACAAAATTTGGCATTTGTAGGTGTGTGTATATACGGGTGTAGTGGTGGTAGCACTGTGGAAGTGGTTTCAGCTTTAACTGAAAAAGCTGAAACCACTGAAAAGCTGTTAGGTTTCAGCCTAACACTTTTCAGGTGTTGGGCGGGTCATTTGTCAGTAATCAGGTGTGATTTCCCAGCCAGTTTCTCCAACCACTTGGGCTGGACGGTCTCGCTTCATGCAGGTTGGCGTTCAATCCCCCGACCGTCCAAGTGGTTGGGCACCATTCCTCCCCCTCCCCTGTCCCATCCTAAAGAGTTATCCTGACCCCTTCCAGGTACTATATACTCATAATGGCTTGGCGCTTTCCCCCTGATAATTCATTCCCTCCCAGCCAGCTTAGGTCAGCTAGATAGTGCTACTAGAAATACTGAAATAGGTTGTGAATAACCATTCAAGTGCGCATATTAGAATTTAATTTTAAAGATCGTATGCTGGTTCATAAGATGGGTTTCAGGGCTTCTGGTGCCGCAAATGACATGGTAACACCGCTCTGGTGGGTTGACCAGACCACACACTAGAAGGTGAAGGGGACGACGACGTTTCGGTCCGTCCTGGACCATTCTCAAGTCTCACAATCGACTTGAGAATGGTCCAGGACGGATCGAAACGTCGTCGTCCCTTCACCTTCTAGTGTGTGGTCTGGTCAACTTACTTTAGCCAGGTTATTGTGACTCATCGCCTGCACAAGCTCTGGTGGGTGGACGACCCGTCGTATAGCGCCAGACGAGGCCTCGCTGGACACTCGTAAGTTCCCGCCAACAGAGCCGCGCCAGTGACGTCACACCACACGTGTGGGATACCATTGGCTGCCAAGAGGCTGGGATCGATACGTCTTCTTAACTGTAAATTACCTACTCCCATTTTTTCGCACATTTGCTGTACATTTCCATAATGTACAAGTATTAAATGCGTTGGTCTCATTATTTTAAGTTTTGTTGTTGTATTTCAAGTTCTGATTGTTGCGTTTGAAATTCGAACCGTGTGAATACGGAGTAATGGAACCTGCGGCTGACTGTACTCGCCTAATGGTGCTTGCTGGGGTTGAGCTTCGGCTCCTTGGTCTGGTATTTGTCTATTAATGTTCACCTATTTGTGCCTACAAGATCGAGCGTCTTAACTCTTGGACCCCGCTTTTCCTACCGCCAGATGTCTAATGTAATGACTCCCAATCAATTTTATCTTGTCTATTAGGCCAACTACTCACCATCCCTAGTATGCAACCCACAACAGTTAGCCAACTCCCAGGTATCCAGAACAGAGGCATCAGGTGTTTGTCCAAGTTGGGAGCCGGTCGGCCGAGCGGATATAGCACGCTGGACTTGTAATCCTGTGGTCCTGGGTTCGATCCCAGGCGAGAAACAATGGACAGAGTTTCTTTCACCCTATGCCCCTGTTACCTAGCAGTAAAATAGGTACCTGGGTGTTAGTCAGCTGTCACGGGCTGCTTCCTGGGGGTGGAGGCCTGGTCGAGGACCGGGCCGCGGGAACACTAAAGCCCCGAAATCATCTCAAGATAAAGTTTCGAATAAATTTTGAATTATATTTCTCTCTCTCCCCACCTCTTGGTTCCGGTCCACTCAGTGATCACACTTGGTGGTCACACTTGGAGTGGCGCTGCCCAGTAAACTCGCCCCTCGGGGCAAAATTTAAAAATTTTAAAATTTTGCGCGCAAACATGTTTCCCAACGTCCCGGTGGCTCCTCTGGGTCTCCAGTAACCTTCTTGGGTCGTGTTCGGCTTCGCTTTCGGCTTCGCTTTCCCTGGAACAGTGTAGCCGTGTATGTTGACCAGACCACACACTAGAAAATGAAGGGACGATGACGTTTCGGTCCGTCCTGGACCATTCTCAAGTCGATTGTGCGGAAGAATCTCATACACATAGATGCGTATGTCTCCTCCAGCTGTGTAGGCCTTCAGATCTTCTCGCTTCTCCCCTCCTCCAGCGTTCATAATTACAGCTGGTTATTGCCTATCCTCAGATAAAAACTGTGTTATGGGTCAACATGACTGCAGTCAAATAACGGCATCAACAAAATCTCGTAGACTTGAGGCAAAGTGAAATTCACACCAGTTAAGCTACTCCATTTGTCATTGTATTATGTAGGAAGAACCGTATGTCTATGGGTCATCCTATACAGTTAGCAGACTTCTAGATGTTAGCACTGCTAGGCTTAGGCTCGGCTACAATTACCTCTGGGAGTTTGTAACATCTGCTGATGTAGATTTGACTAAATGTAAACTGTTAGTAGAACAAATCGCATACTTTGCGTCATTACATAATGGAATGTGAAAAAAAATCGAGGAATTCGGAGATAACACCATCAATGGTGTCCAAGAAATGTGCATGTACTACTTTCATAATTTATATAAAATAATAAATAAATAAATGTTTATTTAGGTAAGGTACATACATACAAGAAATTTTTACAAAGATTGGTTGACTTATAGGTAGAGCTAGTACATACAATGCCTAAAGCCACTATTACGCAAAGCGTTTCGGGCATGAAAATGTAGGATTTGCTTAATGTAGGTGCAGCCTGCACATGACTGTAAAGCTGCCGCCCAGTTGGGTGGGTGTGGAGCAAGACTAGTAACTGTGTGACTCATCATAGATGTAAAGTGCCTTGTATAGTGACTGTTGTGAGCCTCTTGTTGAATCACGCGATATAAAAAGATTATTTATGTATATGTGTTTGTGTAAATGATTGTATATATATGTACATGTGTATGTAACATTAACAGTTGTGTAAATAGTTTCACAAGATTGTCACTTGCTTAGCTAAACGAACTCTGGAGTTCAGTTCCTGAACCCATTATGTGCCTCTGTAACCCGTTCCACCACCGTCCACGGGATGGGTATGGGGTGCATGATAAAGAAATAAATTGACTTAAAAAAATAACGGCTTAAGCTGTCGTGGCATGTTAAACATGCCCTCTCATGAAACTTGCATCATGTGCAATAGGGCCAAGAATCTATACCATAGATAGGCAACTTAATTATTGATTCGGTTTGCTCTCTGGAAAACAAGTCAACTTGACCAACAAACAGTGGAACTAGTGCAGACAATGAGTTACAATGACATGGATGATGATATGATGATCAAACTACACATCAAAAGATGGAGAAACGACGAAATTTTCTCAATTTTTGTGATGTGTGGTATTGGTCATCAGTGGAACTACTGTTAAGGTCAGGTATATTAGCACAGGTATCTAGGGCTAGATTCACGAAGCAGTTACGCAAACACTTACGAACCTGTACATCTTTTCTCAATCTTTGGCGGCTTTGTTTACAATTATTAAACAGCTAATGAGCTCCGAAGCACCAGGAGGCTGTTTATAACAATAACAACAGTTGATTAGCAAGTTTTCATGCTTGTAAACTATTTAATAAATGTAACCAAAGCCGTCAAAGATTGAGGAAAGATGTGCACGTTCGTAAAGTACTTGCGTAACTGCTTCGTGAATCAGACCCCTAGTCTCTAACAGAGGGATATGATTCGACTATAACCTCATTTTGACGGGGGTATCCTATTTAAAATAGGATTGTTCTTTGACAGATGGGGGGGGGGGGTGTTCTTCATATACGATGTCGTTAGTGAAGGTGAGAAATATTTGATAGTGCGCGTCTTGTGCGACAATAGTGACTCTTGGTATTGTCTGCTGCTGCTGCTGTTGCTGCCGGAGCTGGCTATTGACCCCAGTCTTGTCTCTCAGGTCATTCACCTTGTTCCACCTGCCTCGCTCCCCCAAACCCCACCCTACCACACCCCACCCCACCGACGCCCTGTCTGGCCTCATCCCCGCCCCGCCCACACTCTGCCCCGCCCTTACTTGCCACGCCCCCACGTGCCCCCCCCTCTCCCACACCACCCACACCATGTCTTGCCTTCACCAGACCGCACACTAGAAGGTGAAGGCACGACGACGTTTCGGTCCGTCCTGGACCATTCTCAAGTCGATTGTGCCACACAATCGACTTGAGAATGTCGATTGTGTGACAATCGACTCGGTGTACAGGTCGTTGTGTGGGTGTACAGGCAAGTGCTCCCAAATTCAGACTCAGGCTTCACGCACCTACAGCTTTACGTATTCAAGATTAGCTTGCAATAAGAAATTAGGTTATTGTGCTGTGATAAGTTTATGGATATAAAGCTATTACAACACTACATTCTTTGGATTTAAGAATTATCCACAGGTCGTGTCTTAAGGGGGCAAACTTGGCACGTTCCTCAGGTGTTTTTTTGGTTATCAGGGCTGCGGTGCCTAGGCCAACATCGTAGAGACTTGCAAGTAGGCCTGGTCGAAGACCGGGCCGCGGGGACGCTAAGCCCCGGAAGCACCTCAAGGTACATAAAGCGGGAGACATCTCCCGTCACGCAGGGTGCAGTCGCACCTCCACAGATCTCCAGTATCAGCTCTTGATACTGGTAATGGCTCAAAAGGGCCACCACTTACGGGCTATTCATGCCCGTGCCACCTTTTGGGTGGCTTAATCTTCATCAATCAATCAGCCAAGGTTATTGACGAGCTGTGACTCCCGAAGGGATCTCGCGATAGATTCTGGCGAAAAAATTACAATTTCTTTTAATCGACTTGAGAATGGTCCAGGACGGACCGAAACGACGTCGTCCCTTCAACTTCTAGTGTGTGGTCTGGTCAACATACTTCAGCCACGTTATTGTGACTCATTGCCTGCACAATTTCTTTTAGTTTCCTTTTTCAAAATTATCTTCAGATGTTGACCTTGATCTTCGTGCTTATATTTTATACTCCTCTGTAGCTCGGTGAATGAAAGGCTGTGATGGCTGTCTAGCAACAAGGAAGTCCTATTTCCGTCACCAAACTGGTTTAATGCCGCAACGGCAGTCATGCTTGGCCGCGATGCCAAGGTGGCAAAGTGGTGGCTTTAACGCAGGAAAGTGAGCAACCTCAGGGCAGGTGTGGGGCGGGGCAGGTGTGGGAGGTCAGGTTACGGGTGCAGGTGTGGGAGGCGCTTCGCCCCGGGCACTCCACACTTGAGTGCGTCATACGCTGTGTTCACCTGCAGGTTGCCTATTGACTCAGGCTTAAAATAAGTGCGTTTTGGAGTACCAGGGTAATAATGCAGTTGAGACGTTATGACAAGAATTATGTATAAGAACCGTTCTCGGGGGAGTTTATGGAGTGGTATACATACTGCATACAACGTCAACAAATAAACTATACATGCAAACAACTCATGTTTCTGCTTTTCCAGGATTTCCATAATTACCGGTTTATGATCTTTAGAAATTACAAATGGTCGGTATAATTATAAGGTTTGCAAGTTAGAGGGAATTATTGTTGTAAAAATTCGAGCCGAGATCTGAGTGAGACCTTTTGTGCCCTTTGTAATCTTTCTTTTTTGCGCTACCGCTCACAAGATAAGTGTGGAGTGTGTAATAAGGTAGCCAGCACCGGCGGCAACAGTGGAATCATTACACTGAAAAGACTTAGTGAGATGGAGAGACAGACTGAGAGAGAGAGAGAGACTCTGAGAGAGACTGAGCGAGCATTAAGGCGTAAGTTGTGCGAGGATGGTGGCGACAGTGACCCTTGTAGCCTCAGGCGCTCACACCGCCAATTTTGATTTTGCATTGTCAGTTTGGGAACAAAAAATAATAATAACAATAATAATTTATGATTGACGCTTCAGCTTGTGTTGTGAGCTACACTCGCGACCTCTTGTATTTATAACGGTAAAGATGGCTCTGTAAATAAGTCGTAATGTAGAGAATAGTGTGTGTGTGTGTGTGTGTGTGTGTGTGTGTGTGTGTGTGTGTGTGTGTGTGTGTGTGTGTGTGTGTGTGTGTGTGTGTGTGTGTAGTGCGGGGGGTTGCATCAACAAACACCTATTAAGTATTCTAATCGTTGGCCCACTTTTGATTTAAAATTTTTAACTAATGAACAAATGGAAATATTAAACTGGAGATATTCTTGCTGAGTCACCCGCTGCCGTGAGAGAGAACCCAAAAATAAAAACAAATCATAATACAATTCAGGGCAGACCCTCGCCGTTTATTTTTGCGGAGTGGTTGTTGTGTTGGGGTGAGCGTTGTGGGTGGGTGTTGCCCTTGTCAGCGTTGACACGCCACGATTCATGTATTCGCAACTCTTAAGTTGATGAGTCACCAGGACGAGGCGTGAGTCCTGTGAGCGAGACGCTTCACGTCCACCACCACCAGGACGAGGCGTGAGTCCTGTGAGCGAGACGCTTCACATCCACCACCACCAGGACGAGGCGTGAGTCTTGTACAAATCCACATGGGCCGTGACGAGGATTCGAACCTGCGTCCAGGAGCATCCCAGACACTGCCTTAATCGACTGAGCTACGACAGGGTTAAAATGGCAGGATTAAGGCAGTGTCTTGGATGCTCCAGGACGCAGGTTCGAATCCTCGTCACGGCCCTTGTGGATTTGTTCATTTGATGTATCACGTTAGTGTGATCTGTGTGTGTGGTGAGTCTTGTAAGTGAGACGTCTCACATCCACCACGACTCATGCCCCCCACAGTCTTGATGCTCTTGTGATTCTGAGGTGCACGCAGTGAGTCGGGGCAAGAGAAGGAAGGGTACATGTTCCCCTTATGGACTATTATACACCCAGGACCCATTATGGTGCCCATTATCGACCTTCCAGGCTCCTGGATGAGGCGCTACTCGTTTGGTCAGTGAAGAGGCGCCACTCGTTCGGGTTACAGGCACTGAATCTACTAGAAATGTTTTGGAAAACAGGTACATTTAAAATATCACTGTCCTGGGCACAAAAGCAAATGTTGACCAGACCACACACTAGAAGGTGAAGGGACGACGACGTTTCGGTCCGTCCTGGACCATTCTCAAGTCGATTGTGACAATGAGACTTGAGTGTGGTCTGGGCAACATACTTTAGCCACGTTATCGTGACTCATCGCCTGCACAAAAGCAAAGTTTGTGAGGCATAATAGCGATCATCTATAATTTGTAGGCATATGCAAGAAGTCAATATCACTTAAAACTCGGGAATTTTTTTTTTGGCTTTGTGTTGCTTAAATCCTTCCTTTTTCATTCAATATTGTTCGGAATTAGTTTTAATGATTTTCCTAGATGCAACATTTGACTTCATTAAAGAGAAGTCAAAATGTTTGTCAAAGTCAAAACGCTTTGTGTAGCTTAAATTGTTTGGCAGTTAAAGTTGTTAATCACTGAGGTCTGATCTATCTGATGAGCTCAAGCTGGAAGCCCAGAGTCATGAGGTAAGCAGTCACAAACATTGTGTACTCACCTAATTGTGCTTGCGGGGGTTGAGCTCTGGCTCTTTGGTCCCGCCTCTCAACCGTCAATCAACTGGTGTACAGATTCCTGAGCCTATTGGGCTCTATCATATCTACATTTGAAACTGTGTATGGAGTCAGCCTCCACCACATCACTTCCTAATGCATTCCATTTACTAACTACTCTGACACTGAAAAAGTTCTTTCTAACGTCTCTGTGGCTCATTTGGGTACTCAGCTTCCACCTGTGTCCCCTTGTTCGCGTCCCACCAGTGTTGAATAGTTCATCCTTGTTTACCCGGTCGATTCCCGGTCGTGTGTGTGTGTGTGTGTGTGTGTGTGTGTGTGTGTGTGTGTGTGTGTGTGTGTGTGTGTGTGTGTGTGTGTGTGTGTGTGTGGAGGCTGAGCGGGAGGGAGGTGGGGCATCTTGCCAGGAGAGACCGCTGTTGACTTCAAGTGGTGCTTAAGACAGACGGTGTCTTGTGTGTTGTAGCGATTATGGAGATTATGCGCGCACACTCCCTAATGACTTACAACACGTGGGGTTGTCCTGCGCCCTTGGCAGATGTTGACACAACCAGGGAGAGTTGGGATATCTTTCCGGGAAGATATCTTTTCGGGAAGATATCTTTTCGGGAAGATATCTTTTCGGGAAGATATCTTTTCGGGAAGATATCTTTCCGGGAAGATATCTTATCGGGTGTGTTCCCGTGGTGAATTACCTATTTACTATTTGTGCCTGCAGGGGCGGGTTGTTAGCTCTTGGGCCCCGCCTTCCTGACCGTCGGTTGTACCGACTCCCGACCCATGTTTTTTCTGTTATCACATCTACTACATATATCTGTCCAACACATTCCCTGGTTGCAGCAGCTAACTCAAAGGTACCTGTTTAGTGCCAAGGGGAACAGCGGCATCAGGTAAAAGACACTGCCCATTGGTTTCTGCCTCGACCAGGAATCGAACCCGGGTCTTTAGAACTAAGACTCCAAAAAGAGCTGTCCGCTCACCTGCGAGGACTGTTAGTGCTGTGCTTGCTTGCTTGCTTGCGGGCGCTCACGTGCATGGTGTCTGTCTGGAAGCGTGTTTTTTTTGTTTGAGGGATGTGGGCGTGTGTTAGCGAGTGGGCGCTCCCGTGCGTGCGCGTATGCGTGCATTAATTTCCCAGTTAAGGCTTGTTATATCTAGTGATTAGAGCCGTTTTAAAACGGGCTTCTCGGGCCGACATTTTGCGTGTCCGTGCCGTATTAGACGGGGCTAAATTCCATGTATACAGCCGCATGGTCAGAGGTCTACGTATGAAAGTCTGAGACAAGAGACTGTTGGTACTAGCGTGAGGCACCCGATGGGGCGGTGGGACGGTTATCTTCTTCAGATCTTGAGATGATTTCGGGGCTTCAGTGTCCCCGCGGCCCGGTCCTCGACCAGGCCTCCACCCCCAGGAAGCAGCCCGTGACAGCTGACTAACACCCAGGTACCTATTTACTGCTAGGTAACAGGGGCATAGGGTGAAAGAAACTCTGCCCATTGTTTCTCGCCGGCGCCTGGGATTGAACCAGGACCACAGGATCACAAATCCAGCGTGCTGTCCGCTCGGCCGACCGGCTCCCCCTCGGCTGTATATAGTAAATGTATGGTGAAGAATGAGGTAGTGGTGCTTGAGCATAGTGGGTGTCAACTCCAAATGACGACTAACTTAACTGTTTGTGTTGACAGGTGGAAGGGCAGCATCTACAAGTTGGTGTGGCCAGAACTGCTGGTGTACAGCATCGCCTTCTACCTCTTCAGCTTCACATACAGGTTCGCCCTCAGCGAGGACCAGAAGAGGTAAGGAAGCAACTGCTGTTATAGAACTTACCAGTAATGACAGGCTTAATATTAGTTGACCAGACCACACACTAGAAGGTGAAGGGACGACGACGTTTCGGTCCGTCCTGGACCATTCTCAAGTCGATTGTGAGAAATAACTATTATTTATTTAATAACAGGCTAAATATTATATTTTTGGGTAATTTTGCTGTAAGGTTCTCAATTGTCTTTTTTAGAGATGGAGTGGGTCACTAATAATGGAACCAATTACGTCAGCTAGCCCGTCCTCATACACAACGGCTAAATGCCCGATAATCCAGTAGCCAAACTCATTTTTATATATATGAAAAACACTTAAGAGGGGATTCAGATTTATGCATCACTCACGTCCATTGTTCGAATTGCACCTCTAAATGTTTCACCTACATATTGTAAATTCAAATTATTTGAACAGAGCCTAAACACCTAACGTAACCTACGCCTATCTATAGAATTCTAATATAATAATAATAATAATTAATAATAATAATAATAATAATAATAATAATAATAATTTGTATTATTATTTTGAGAAACTTGTTTTGATTATACAGTATGTTAAAGTTGAATGGTGCTTTATGATTGGTAGCTGCTTGGAGTTGCCTGGCCTGAGGACAGGTTGATCATGGGAGTTGTTCAATACTAACATTTTTCATTGTTCTCTCCACACGATGGTCGTTCATTGTGTGTGCTGTTAGAGGCCTAGGTAAGGTTAGATTTGTTTTTAATATTGCGTCTTGTGTCATTTGCCAACATGATAGATTTTGAACTATTTTTATGTACCATATTCTGTAGACACAAGGTTTAGTCATGTGCATGCATTACCTACAGTGGCCAGAATTGAGATACTTGGCTAGGGTTTCTAGTAGTACATCATAATGAATGAAGTACTTAAACATTTCTTGAACACCATTGATAGTTATATCTGAATTCCGCGATTTTTTCCCACAAAATTATATAATGACACAAAGAATAGTTCTGCTGACAGAATTTACATATCGGGACCTCCTTCAATTTCGATCGAAACGTGTCCCAACTCATCGATCCATGGAATGAAGTGACATGTTGGCAGTTGAGAGCATTGTAGTGCCAAAGTGGACATGCCACAGTGTAGCTAGTGCCGCTGTTAAGTTAGTGATAGTGTCTATAAGTAATGGGGGGGGGGGGAGTCTAGTACGGCACGTGGTGGGGCAGTACCAGGGTGAGGCTAGGTCCGCCCACCAGAGGCTAGGTCCGCCCACCAGAGGCTAGGTCCGCCCACCGGTCTCACTATCACAAGGCGCATGGGTAGTGCTCCCTGGCCTCGTGCTTCTTCCACCTCCCCAATCACCCACCCTACCCTATCATAAATATATAATAGTTAAAGATTACAATATGTACATTGGTTAATACAATAGGGTTTAAAGGTAATGGATCTGTTGGAGCTCCTCCGCTTCCGGACAGGAACCGAGGACGCAGTAGGCGTTTTCCCTCTGGATCGCCCCACTGAGGCGCTGAAAGAGGAAACTGGCAGCTCTTGGGTCTCTGGTGATGTCAATGAGCTGCTATATACTTTATATACAATGAGCCGCTATATATTTTATATATCATTCTCAAGTCGATCGCACAATCGACTTCAGAATGGTCCAGTAATTGAAACGTTGTCGTCCCTTCACTTTCTAGTGTGTTTAAGTATAATGTATTTGCTCAAGTCATTATATGTTGTTGTTAGAGATTTAGCTACTCAGGACGAGGTGTCCATGTAGCACGGGCTATGGTGAGCCCGTCTCATTATATATGGAGTCGAGTTCTTATAGTAAACACGACCAACAACCACACCGCCGACCTTCACCTCGCCTCATGTTCATCAAGATTGTAACTTGCTTAACTAAATGAATTGTGGGGTTCAGTCCCTGAGCCCATTATGTGCCTCTGTAACCCTTGCCACTACCGCCCACAAGATGGGTATGGGGTGCATAATAAATGAACTAAACTAAACTAACTCATGTGGAATAATACCTGCCATTTTTTTACATGATTTATTGCTGTCATTCTTGTCAATGAGGGCCATCGGCGGTACTCAACCACGTCAGACCATCTAATCATATAAATTAGGAGCTATTTCGCGTAGCCTAATAGACCTTCTCTAGTTTCCTTGATTCTCATGTCATTTTTTTTTCTTGCAATGTATCTGTTATCATTTTATTAATTCTGCTAGAATTTACCTACTTAAAATTATTTTAGATTAAGGACCTGCCCGAAACGCTGCGCGTTCTAGTGACTTTACAAGATTGTGAGAATACTTAGCATAGTATTTACAAACCCAATGTACCTTCTTGTATATAAATAAATATGCGTTGTTCCTTGCCGTATCCTCAGCCGGTGGCTGAGCGGACAGAACACTGGACGCGTGATCCTGTGGTCCCGGGTTCGATCCCGGGCGCCGGTGAGAAACGATAGGCAAAGTTTCTTTCACCCTGATGCCCCTGTTACCTAGCAGTAAATAGGTACCTGGGAGTTAAGTCAGCTATCACAGGCTGGTCAAGGACCGGGCCGCGGGGACACTTAAGCCCCGAAATCATCTCAAGATAACCTCAAGAAGAGCCTCGAACGCCATGACAAATTACTGTTGAACGCTAAACTTGAGACTGAAAATAAGTTAAAAAATAAATTAGTGTGGAAATTTGAAGCTCAAGAGATTTTTATAATGGGAAGAAACCCGGTTATAACCGGCAAAGCGGGGTATACGGTGTGAGATAATGGCAGAGAAACTGGTTATAACCCGTGAAGTAGGCTACGGTGAACGGGTTAGCACCGGTGAGTTGCGTCATGTGACGTCAGGGAGGCGGGGCCGTCCTCGTCCTAGTCGCCATCACCGGCCTTCTTACCAGAAGTGTACTCGTCTGGTACACGTGCTTTAAACGCTTCTAGAGATACATATATATTTCAGTTCAATGCAATGTATGTTACTAATTATAATGCTGTCATCATCATTATCATCAATATGTTATTGCCATAGCGATCCATCGATCCAAGAACTGGTCTTACCCATCAGGCCACGAGGCGAACGTTTAGCAGTAGCTTCCCCGTCAGCAATTGCTTTCAGAACTTAAGTAATTAGTTATCTTTAGCGTTTGGCCGTAGAGGTCAGCAGAGCAACGGTAGAACCTTTATAATCTGCAGAGTCTGAGATTGAGGATGACAGACAACACAACTCGAGGCCTTTTCAGGTAGAAATGACCAGGAAAGAACGGAAGAATATGATCAGACGGATAAGATAAGAGACAGATAAGTGAAAGAGGTAGTTGGGACAAGAAACGACTGAAAATTTCTAATGATAGACGTCAGACGGCATCCGGGGCTTTAATTAAATTAATTAATTACTCGCCCGTCCAAAATGGAAACTTCACTAGACGCAACAGGGCCACACACATCAAGACAGACAAATTAATAGACGGAAGCAGCTGTTATTTCCTTTGACATGTGATATGAACTTTCATCAGGAATTAGAATGGATGATTCAATTGGCTAAGGAATTTGGTGAATTTGAACCATTGTTTAAGGTGGTGCACCGGGGCCCACATGACAGTTGGAACAGGCAAGGCAGTGGAACACATAACGTCTGATGGATTTATGAATGTTGTAATGGTTACTCCTTAATTAAATAGGAACACGTCACACGAAGGTCATTGGTTTTTAAGTATCCAACATGAACAAATCCACAAGGGCCGTGACGAGGGTTCGAACCCTCATTTGATGCATCACGCTATTGTGATTTGTGTGTGTAAAGTATCCAACACATCTAGAGTTATCTTAACAATGAAAGTATTATGTGGGCGCATAGGAATACTGTACATGGTGGAAAAACAAAGCCATGTAATTGTCCTGTTGAAGGGTTAGGCTTCATTTCGACTTTTCGGGCAGGGACTTGGCAACAGGAAAGTGGCTAAATATATAGAAGAATCCATATTATGTATGAAGTGGTCTCGTTGTGGACTGGAAACGCCAGTTTGACACCGGTACTGCGGTAAGAAGCATGATTTGTGAAAGTGTCAAGTCAGTTAAATTCGAGGAATCAAGTTTGGAAAAGAACCAATTGTCATCTTGTGCACAGACGAGTGCAAGAGAGAACTAGATGAACACCTCCAAAGGATACCTGATCAACCAAGCTGTGATTTATACGTAAAGCTGCGAGCAGCTGCGTCCAGCAATCTGGTAGGCCGCAGGAACCTTGATTAACCTCCGGAATCAACGCAAGATAACCACAAGATTGTTGCAATTGTCGTGGCACCAATAATGCTGGTTCTTCTCTGTCCCACAAAGCCCCATTTGAGAAACTACAAGCCATCTACAAGCCATCATAATATAAATAAAATGAAAGTATAAGTTATGTAGCCTAAAATCATTAACAACAGCTCTTTTATTACCCTGTAATACCCAGTATGCAAAATTATGATAAGTATTTTCAACATTACTTGGCGCTAATTAGTATTACTGTACTGTATATATATCGTGTATGGAAGTTGCAATGCAAGAATTTTTTTGCTAGCTTTCATTATAATTAAATGTAAGGTGAGCAAATAATTGTACAGTATGTTCATGCAGTTCTCCTGAATAGTACATCTCATTTTGACATATAATTTCCATAAGGCTAAAAACTGATGTACTAAAAGTGGTAGTGGCTCCTGAAATTTACTTGTGGCACAGTTTTCTACTCGTAGGTTCTCAGGTATGTTAGGTTCGGGCAAATTTAAATACAAGAGTTTAGTGAAATTGTGAACGCTCGGGAGAATGGACTGACTGATAACGTGCTTGTTTATCTGCATAAGATGGTGACTTGTAGTATCATGTAACTAGCTCTTGTCAAAAACAAATTAACCTGTCATAGGGGGGGTAGAAATAGCCTAGCTACTCTATCCCTTTGAGATGTATTTCTTTCTTATCTCAATAAACATACTTGAATTGAACCTGTCATATAGTGTAAGGTAGCTGCATAATCCAGCCTGGAGGCCTCAGCTTCAGGAGGGCGTAGCTGCTCTGAAGAAAGTACAACACCGGGTAACGAAAATCTTTCCAGAATTAAGTGAACTCAAGTTCAAGTATGTTTGAGACAAGAAAGAAATACATCTCAAAGGGATAGAGTAGCTTAGGCAATTTCTACCCCAACTTCCGTTTCCTGGAAGGGTTGAAGGCCACAGGAATAATAACAATCGCTGCAAGCCAAAAATGACAGGCCATTGAAACTTTAAAAATACTGAACAATTTTGAGGATGTTGATCCAGATAATTTCTTCAAAAAGGTCAAATTTGACATAAACAAGGAACAACGGTTTCAAGCTCAAGCCAGTGTGAAGGACTGAGAATAGATGCTTTTTCACCCACAGGGGTTATAAACCCATGGAACCGCCTACTCGCTGAAGCTTTAAATGTCAAAAACTTTTAAATTTTAAAATCCAGCTGGAAAAAAATCGGGGCAGATGGGGGGGGGGGCTTTGACAAGCCGCCGGCTTCTTATCCTTGTCGAGGCCACTAGTGTCGGTGGCCCTCGGGTAAATTCTGATGTATCTGTTAATACAAAAAATTAAATTCACATGAATTAGATTTGATAAATCCTGATTTTACTTGATACGAATTGTAAACACGACCTTGATTCATCTTGTTAGGTATGCATCGATATGCAATTCATTCGTTTCTTAATATACTCCAGGTATTATGAATGCAGCACACATCTTAACACGTGCATGACATAGTAATGTCAGGCGACTATTTTTATCATCGAATAAGGATCAATAGTTGTTAGTATTTCCATTAACTTTATTTCCTTCTAATACAGTATAAATAAGCCATTAGCTGTTTTAGCCGCCGCTCATAAGCCTGGCAACAAAGGAGACAGCTAAATCTGCCTCTTCTCTAATATCCTGTCAGTAATAATAGATCTTGGAATAAAAAAAAGTTTGGAAGCAATACTATGTATATAGTATTATGGAAACAGTATAGAGGACATAGTAAACCTGCAATCTGATATTATTAGGGTCTTTCAATGGGCCACAGATAATGTTGTGATGTTTAATGAAGATAAGTTCCAGCTTCTACATTAAAGAAAACAAAAATATAAAAACAGAAACCATGTACTGTACTGTACTGTATAAAACGTAATCATGTCGGAAACACGATGAAGTAGCTGTCATGACTGCAAGAAAAATGACACGTTAGATAACAAGGATCTTCCAAAGAAGGGATTCCATACCAATGATATTTTACAAAATGCTAGTGCTTTCTAGGGTGGAATGTTGTTGCCCCATCCAGAGGTGGAGAAAATGCCGACTTGGAAAATATGTAAAGATCCTTTATTGCTAGAATCCACTCTACAAAACATCAGAATTATTGTGACCAATTAAAAGTTCTAAATCTGTGTTACTCTCTCTAGGTTACATAGAATTAAGAGACCCATCTCATTATCTGTACATAAGCTAATAAGAATATGGAGCAAGTATATTACAGTACTTACATAATATACTTGCTACACTCTTATCTTGGTCTGTGCTCCTTACCGCCCTGGGCTGCTTACACCATCCTGTAATCACTGATCTGAATGTACCTTAGTCCATCGCTCTTGTGCAATTGAACCATTTATATGTGTAACCCTATAACTACAATTGTCCCTTCATCTTAATAATAATACAGTAATAATAATTTTTATTCAAAAGAATTTGTGTACAAAGAACATAAGAGTAATGTACAATTGTATGGACAGGAGTTACACATACTAATGAAGCCACTATTATGCAAAGTGTTTCAGGTTATTTTCTTTGTATGTGCATTCTTAAGAAGAAAATTATTACTCTATTATTATTAATTTATCGTCATCTAATATATCAGAGAATGTTAAAGTATACTCCATAAATGTTAAACACTAATCTGTATACCATTCTGAATTTGATCATTTATTGTATGTTAATTTTTCATCTTTGCAGGTTATTTGAGAAGGTGTCAGTGTTCTGCCAGTACTTCAGTGACTTAATACCATTGTCATTCGTGCTTGGGTTTTACGTTTCCATAGTAGTACAGCGGTGGTGGGAGCAGTACCTCTCCCTGCCATGGCCAGACTCTCTGGCTCTCTTTGTTTCTACATCTATCCACGGCCAGGTCAGTCATCCCATATCTACCCACATTAATTCACAATTTAGATGAGGCTTTAGAACATTGTGTACTGCCCAATTAATATAGATTACATGTCTTGATGTTATATTGTACTGTATATTGTCTTCATTATGAACTAGGAAGGACAGTTACTTTTCATAGACAAACTTGTGCTTACTCGTCGCTCCCAAACACCACTCCACTCATGAGACCAGAGTATTATATGCAAAATTCCTTCACTGCTGTTAGAACTTTAAGCATCATCTGATATTGTCAGACGGCTAAACCTTTGCTGTTAGGCCCTAATTGTTGGCTTACATTATAATCGTATTGAAAATTATAACTCTTAATGCAGACATGCCAAATCCCATTCACTGAGCATCATAGCACAGTAGCTTACTCTCGCGCTTCCATAGTTGCTTATCTCCCATGCAATAAAATATTTTAAACTCTGGTATTGTTGAAATGTACATCCAGGACCCCAACAAAAGGATTGTATGCTGTACTGTGGAGACCCTGTTTTTAAGCAGTAAATCTTTGGGGATGTAAATCTTGCTCTTAAGAACAGCTGGCCCTTTCCACCTGGTAATTGTACAGTACAGTTGGTAATTACATTACCTTTAATGACCACAGTTGGAGAGCATAATGACTCGGAGTTATTTTGGCTGTATTGTAGGTTGGTGACCCTGTTGTCCCATTGCACACTTTGAAGGTATACATAATAAACTAAAGACTAATATTGTGTAAAATATCAGGTTTAGTCCTGACTGTGGTGGAGGATATTCTGCATTAACGCTTTGGTTTCATTTTAGTTCAAAGTGTAAGCATGTGCGTAAGTGTATTTATGTAAGTGTAAGCATGTGTGCATATCAGCATGCATGCACATTTGTTGTGTGTTTTTATCTGGGTACAGTATGTGTGTTCATTTATTGTACTGTATTTTCTTTGGATCTAGAAGAGTGCAACAAGGTTCGTTCCCAAGTTAATGGGCTTGAGCTATCAGGAAAGACAGAGTACTCTAGCTTGCCACACTGAAGGAGACAAGGAATAGGGAGAATTATGATCACAATATACAAGATTCTAAGTGGAATTGACAAAGAGGACAAAGAAACATTGTTCAAAGTCAGGAACAACAGATCGAGGGGTCGTAAATGCAAACAAGTACAAATGAGTCACAGGTTCAGAAAGAAACTTTTCAGTGTTGGAACCATCAATAAGTGGAATAGGTTAGGTAAAGAAATCCTTGAAGCTAACTCAATTTGCAAATTTTAATGTGTGTATGATTAAAACAAACATGAAGTCGTTGCATTAAACTAAGAATGTTCAGAAGGCGAGTAAAAACACCCACACACTTGCTCTCTCACTCCTTTGATCTTGGCCCACACCTGCCCAGGCCCAAGAAAGCAGAGGCAGGCAAGTTCATGTGGAATGTAAGAGGAATAAATTGGAGACAAGCTAAAAGTAGCAAGAGTTTCAATTTCAAGGAAGTGCAAGTACTCTGTGCGTGGATTATATTAAACAAAAATAAACGGTAATAATAATGAAGAATGTAATGGAGTAATTGTTTTGGTTACAAAGTGAACAATAATGAGAAGGAAGGAAAGAGTATTTATGTTATTGATTAATAATAATAATTCATTGTGTTTGGAGACAGGAAGCCAGAGTGTATTCGTACGCACTTGGGCTTTTATTGAGTTCCCCCCCCCCCTCCCAAAGGCTGAATTACTGACCCCACTCAGGATGCAACCCCACAACAAGCTGACTAACTCCTGAGTACCTACTCACTGCTAGGTGAACAGAGGCATTAGGGGTGAAAGGGAATGTGCCCAACCATTTGTGTCCCGCCCGAGATTTGAACCTGAAATTCTCGATAGTGCGTCGAGGACAAACCCGACTGTACTACCAGGACCCTATGAATACTGGCACGCGTGTGTTCATGTAGTTCACGGTGTTGTGTGGGAAATTCAAGTTTGAAAGAGTAAAGATGACAATTTTAATTTTTAAAGGCTGTCTTATTTAAACCTTAAAGGCAAAATTTGTATGATAATGGAAGTTACATAATAATTTTAATGAGTGATCTAAATGGTAATGTGAGTAGGCCCTAAAAATTACATCATTGGTGTGCTTTGGATTTAAATATTATTAAATGAAAATTCTGCATTACTAGTTATGTACATTTTGAAAACATATGGATGATGATGATGATTAATAATAATTCATTGAGTGTGTAACAGTGGTGTAACAATTGCCCGTGCCTCGCAAGCAATTTGGTCTGAATTAGAGTCCTTAGACAAGGAAGATTGTCTGGGCACCAATCATTAACTGTTCAACCCAGTTCATCCAGGAATAATTGGGTAACTGGTTAACTGATTGATGAGTTGTGTTCCAGGGAAAAAGTAGTGGTTAAGATTTACCATGTGCTATGTGAAGGGAAACTCTCGGCCTGCTCCTGTACCCACCTGTGTTAAGAGAAAAAAAGGTCATTCTAATAGATTGTCTTAAAGTTCATTCATAAAAACTGTCATAGCTGACCATTTATGTTGTGGCTGCAGGGATTGGGATTCATGTGCTTAAATATCAGTGCTAGTGGACTTTATTTTCAGTTTCAGCATTAGTGTCGCAGATAATTCTATCTTAAAGGATGTTTTAACCATCCTTGTTTAGATAACTTAAGAGCTTAGTCCTGAAGTTGAAAAAAGAGAGTTCTGCTCAAAACCTACTTTTGAGAACTTACTCTGATGATTAAACTAGAAGGTGCTAATCTTCTCGCCTCTTATATATTCTCCTGCATCTGCTGGATGAATAGGGTGAAGTGGCTTGGATCTTTTTACCTGTATTCCCCATTGAGGTGTGTCATTGCCTGAGGATGACAACCTCTCACAAGTTTTCCAATTACCCCTACTGTCATGTGGGAAGATGTGTAATATAGTTTACACATAGAAGTTTGGGATGACAAGACACAATTTAGTGTTTTTTTATGTTTATTTAATATAAGCTTGGTTAAGCAGTTGGCTGTTGTCAATGTAGTGATGTGTTGATAGCTTAGACTAGTCCTGGAGTAGAGAGCTCGAGTGGGGCCAGAGGTAGAGAGCTTGAATGTGCGATGAGAGCATGGAGCTCAGATGGGGAGGGATCAAAGAGCTCGAATGCAGAACAAGAGCTGTAGCTCGAGTGGCCGGAATCTGGCTATCTGCTCAATGATGAGGCTGTAGCATCTATGAGGATAATGAATCTTCTCAAGAATCAAGATAACTATAAAGAAATGTTAAATAGAAAGAGCATTATTTTTTCATAACAAATGTTAAAAAAAAAAAACTATATTGCACACATTGTTTCATGTGACAACTTCATGCTGGAGTTGTTAATGAATTGTTAATATAAACTGCAAATTTTTAAAAACGAGACGAATGTCAACATATTGCTAAATTCAGCAATTAAGTTAATTGAACCTTATATTTTATTAATATTGCAATATTTATATATTTATATTAATATATGAATAAATATTGTTAAATTCAGCAATTAAGTTAATTAAACCTTATTTTTTATTAAAAAATTACTTGTAGAAATTCATTCATTTTGTTCTTAATGTTTAAAGCTTCATAATTTTTGTGAACCTTCCTACCACTATCCTAGCTTCTTGCCCAACCTTTACCATTCAGACGTGGTTTTTGTCCTTGGATAAATCATTCTCTTTCGTGTTAAAGAATTTATTATTATCGAAATAATCCAGTACCCTGCACAGTTTACAGCCAAAAGATCCTGGGTTCATTTCACAAGGCAGGATAGAAAAGATTTGGCATGATTCCTTTCACCTAGTGCCGTTGTTCACCTAACAGTAAATAGGTACCTAGGAGTTAGGTAATCACTGCAAGTTGTATCCTTGAGAAGGTCAGTAATTTGCCTAGGTAGACCTCGAAAAGTCTAAATGACTTCTTTTTCCCGACAGTGGGACACCAAACCAAAAGCATGTAGTATTCTTTACATCAGTCATAACGATGTAATGTGATGGGGCTCGTAGCTAGATATCTGGTATTGGCATGGTTGCTGTGATCAAGTGATAGCGAGTAGTTGCAGCAAGGTGGTTAGTGGCAGCAGTAAGGTGGGTAACTAGCAGTTTGGAGAGAGCTTTACTTGACAGTTCCTGGGGGTGCCAAAATGAGGTTAGAATGAGTTTGTTGTTTGAATGAACTTGTTGTGATTACTGGGCAGGGGTGAGGTTTTCTCCAGTGCCTCTGATCTGAGAGGGACATTTGAAAAGAAGATTGCTGCATCAGTGGAGAATGTCTACTTGCCCTGACTGTCATAATCTAGTCTATTGGGACATTCAGAGATCTTGCCTTGGAGAACATTCAAATGACTTGCTCAAATAGTAGTTTTTGATATTCACAAAAAGGTTGATTTTTGTGTGTATAAATGTGCCTTTCAGTGTTTAAGCTTGTATATTTGTAGTGGTATTTTGTGTCCTAGATATGCAACAGGTATTGCAATGTTCACTCAAATGCTTTAGCCTGTAAAGTATGGCCATAGTTGTATACATTTGATCCAAAATGGTCTACTCTGTTGGATTTTGTAGTTAAATATTTATTGGTTTTTGTTTTGAGCTAGACTGAGTTACAGTTGACACAGTATGAATTCAGGATCAAATCTAATAATAGAAATCTTGAAAAGGAAAAAAAAGAATAATATACTGTACAGGTATTAAGTATTTTGCTCCTTATAATGTTAACTAGTTTTCATATATATTTTAGGGGCCTGTTTTATTTTGTGTAGCCTATAACAGTGATGTAGGCACATCTATCCTGTGATCTTATTTAAAATCATGCAAGGGTGGAAAGAGGGTTGATTTTTGCTGTAAATTGTATCTTAAACTGGTAGATGTGTTTTGGCCAGGTGAAATTTCATCTTCTCTTTAAAGATCGTGCTTTTTACTGTAATTGTTAATTCTAATGCACATTCATTTATACTTTATTCGTAATAAAAAATTCTGAGTGGAACTTCGTGTTTTGTCAGGGATTAAACATTCAATCTTGGTCAGATAGGTCTTGCTAGATTTCAATAAAAATTGTCATGGTCTCCTAATGTACTGTACAGTACTGGTAAAACACACACAATTCCAAAGGGGTCCTGCTTGTACTCTCATGTAGCGAGTAGTCAATTGATCTTGAGTGCATTCATCAAATGTTTATCATAATTATCCAAAACTATTTGTGTCACGTTCATGCAAAACTCTAACTCTTGTAAGCAAGTGTGTAATAGGCAAGAAGTTATTGCAGGATGAGCGATCGCGTCTGATGCGGAGAACTGTCATGCGCTACGTCAATCTTACTGAACTCATCACGCTTATCATGATCAGTCCCACTGTCAAGAAGCGGTTCCCTACCCTTGATCACTTGGTTGAAGCAGGTAACACTAGAAAACTGGGATGAAGTTCTTACAGAATGTTGACTATTTTGACCAAATCATTCAACAAGGCTTTTGTCCTTTGCAAAGATTTTAGTGACACCTTTTTCCAACAATGAAACAAGTGGCAAAATTGTTGTTAAGGCTATAACTTTACATATCTAAATCTACTTCAAGTAAATAAACATGGGGAATTGTGATTTGTAACTAATTTAATGTGCACTATGATTCTTATGCACTAATACATGTCGTCCAAGTCTTGCTACTCAACAGTGAGGATGAACTGCTAAAATAATTACTAGTGATAGTGAACAAAGCTTCTTCCCAAACTCTAGTTTAGAAGAGAAGATAACGTTTTTATATATGATGTATGAGAAGCAGTTATTATGAATTTTGCATTATTGCATGGTTAATAATGTAGAACTCTATCCCAAGTTTTTTGTTTTTTTAATTTCTGTAATCCTTTTAACTATTTTTTTTGATGGTACAGTACAGTGTTTTAATTTTGTTGTAGTCTTGTACATCATATTCATCACATTTTGCAGGATTTTATTATTGCATTATTAGCATTTGGTTGTTTTCAGCAATTGAATTACATTATTGTGTTGTTTTACTATCATTTTGTAAATGTAGAATCTACACATCATTATGTTAATGGGTACTGCACTTTGATGATTGAAACAGGGCTATTTGGACAGGTTGTCAAAATATTTATAGGCTTTAATTCCAGTCACCTGGGCTGTATGGGTCTCGAACCGTAGACCCCCACATGTGAGAGGAAGCTCTATCGACTGGGCTATGAGTAGTCTTAAAAAAAGAAAGTTTCCCATAGGCCAGTCAAGAGCTTCGGCCTCACATGCACGGGGTCCATGATTTGAGACCAATACAGCCCAGGTGAATGGAATGTTTATTTCCACATGAATGTGGATGATAATTTATATAATTTATTATATGGAAGTGTAATGAGAACTTCTGGATCGTTGTATTCAGATAATGTACACTTCTGATTAGTTCCTTGCTGCAGCTATCCTTGAGAGCATGGACTCAGCAGTACTTTTATTCAGATATTGAACTACTGACCATTGCCAATAGCACATGGAACCTATAAAAGAACTGATGGCTTGGGTGTTGCAAAGCTCCAGCAGTTACCCCCCCTTGCACTGAAGTACTAAACATGGAACAACAAGGCCCGTTTTACCAAACTAAAGACCTGAGGAAATGGTTTGCAAATATTTAAAGTCATCACTTTCAGGAATGAAAAATTAATAATGTATATATGGCATTAATTCAAATTTATGCAGATGAATTGGTTACTACATCTCCAAAAGACAAAGTTGCAATGTTTTCCCTTCATAAAAAGCATGGACCATCTCCTTCAGTAGGAACCCAGCACCATACCCCTAGTCCAGTAGGAGAGCTCTTCCTCCATTATCCAATACAGTACATATTTTTCCTATTCTTTCTTTTGTCCTTGTATTGCCATATTTTTATCCCCTTATGATTAAATTCAGCTGAATAATTATGACTTAACAGGAACAAATGACTTGACTATTAGCAGGTTGAGAGCTTTCCCTTCCCATAGGTCATGGTAAGCCATATTCTACTAGTTGTCCCTGGAACACGACACATGAATTGGGTAATAACCAGACATCCAATTACTGCTGGGTGAACTGGGAAGACCAGTTGGCACTTAGTCAATCCACCACTGCCAGAACTTGAACCCAGACCAAATTGCTTGCAAGGTGTGGGACAAACTTGTTACCACTGAACCACCAAAAATTGTTCCCTGGCATATTCCTGTGTTATGTGTAGCCGAATGTTAAATTCCTCGGTCTTGTGTTTTACTTAGATAGCAAAATAGGCACCATGAAGGAAATAGTAGGGTAAAACAACAATAGTTAAAACAAAAGTTATTTACAGAAAAACTAAGGTCCGATGGAATGTGACCATCTGGCTGTAATGAAAAGATAATACAGTACTAGGAAAGAAAATCAGGGTATCAGAATTTAAAACTAATCTAAACTGACAGTAAACCGGAATAAGATGACCTCATGAAAAAGCTTAAGTTCTACCAAAATACCAACAGACAGCCTTTAACCCTTGGACAGTGGCTATGGAGAAATGGTCATACCTGCCTGTGCACCAAAAATATGAAAATTCAAAAAAAAAATATTTTTCATTATAGAATTATTAATTTGTACGCAAAATGTAAGAAAGCAAGAAAATAAGTGAATATTTATCGTTTCACTGGGTGAAAGCGCTCTGCAAGACAGCGTCTGGCACTTGTCAACGCCTGGGGCTCAACTTTGCTGATGCTTCGTTTTATCCTCAGATGTTTCACTGATTCTTTTATCACTTGTTTATCTTTATTTACATCCACAGTGATTAAATCCATATTTGCATCATACATGTAAAACCCAGACAATAATTGTTTAAATCATCATATGATGACCGTAACATTCATGACGATAACTGCATTCGCACCATGAAATGGTAGCAGGATGTTTTTCATGGGTCAAAGTACTCTCCATTACATGCACATAGACCTATTATATCCATATTTGCATCATATATTTCTCGTATTGGCATCCTTGGTGATATTTAGTGCCCTCTGATAATTCCGGACATTTGATGGTGCTACATAGCCTTCCCGGTTTGGTGCCTTCTTTTGATAATCACTTACAGTACTTCATAAGATGATAACCACAGTCCCATAGGGATCATTAATAAATGATAATTGCAGCCTAAGGGTTAGCAGAGTATGATTTGTACAGTTTAGAAAACCAAATCTGTCATAGTTCTTTGCAGTCTCATTCATGGGTATATATATATATCAGGTACCCAGGAGGTATGTTTACCCCAGACCGAGAGCCACAGCTGTGTACAAACCGTCTTGGAAAAAGATGTTTTGCATTGTGTGGACTTTGATATTGTGTGTTGTGGAGGTGTGCAGCATAATTAGAAGATTTTTGCCATAATTGTGTGCTTGGTGATTATTAAATTATGGAATTCCATAGAGCCTTTGCAAATGTTTGGATGAGGATAACATTGAGATACAGTACCTGAAACAAGTATGAAATTGTGCTGGTGATTGTGCCCTAATTCTATTAATGAAAAGTATTAGTATTCATTTGGTTATTTAATGGTTAGAGCTGGAAATTGTGGATAACTTTATTAGATGAAAGCTTTTCTGAAGAGTGTAAAATAAATAGGAGATATTGTATAATGAATGATGAATGGAAGTAAAGAACTGTATGCTGAATTCTTATATTTTTTTAATAGGATATATGTGAATAGAGATATATGGATATATATTCATATGAATAGGGATATATGTGAATATTGATATAAACAACAAATGATTGAAATAATTGACATTCTTGAATACTTTAAACATGTCATTGTATATTTGAGAACTATGTACAATAAAACTTTAATTTTAAATTGATTAATTGAGATAAAGTGGATCATTTACATTATGTGGAATTCCTAAGATTCATAGAATTCCTAAGAATTTCTAAGATTCATAGTCGAGCTTGGCGTACCTTACTTTGACGTAAATCTCATGTACTGTAGTTTAATTATATTTTTATTGTTTATTAGCTTAATACTCGATAAAGTTTATTACAATGTTTATACCTTTTGTAAACTAAAATGTGAAAAGGTTGATGGATAACTATACTATGGTCAGGAAATTTAATTAGGTAATTCAGGAATTTAAGATAATATTTTCAGAGACGAATAGGCTGAGGTAATGCATACAAATGTCTAGAATCTTGGAGCAGTTTCTCTGTCTATTGCAGGATGAACGTGCCAGACTTATGAGACGAACAATTGTACGCTATTGTAATCTCTCAATGCTCATTACTTTGACAATGATAGCCCCAGCAGTCAAGAAGCGATTTCCGACCAAAGAGCATTTGATAGAAGCTGGTAATCGAAATAATTAAACTTTTGTATTGGCTTACTCAATTTACGTTTATTTCACAAAACCAAAGCTTCTCCTTTTTACTGCTCAGGAATTATTGAAAAAGAGAATGTTTCTCTTATATCGGTATCAAGTTTCTCTATTGAATTAAAATATTAAGAAACTTGTTAATAATCTGTAATAGACTACATTAAGAAGCTGAAGCAGAGCCTTTTAACTTAGCAGCTTTGTACTACAGTATTATAAAACATTGTTAATCTGGAAAGCAAAATATTACTGATACAAGAGAAAGCTACATGCCGAACAAATCCACAAGGGCCGTGACGAGGATTCGAACCTACGTCCAAGAGCATCCCAGACGCTGCCTTAATCGACTGAGCTACGACATAGTATAAGAATTACAACCAAAAATTCTACTGAATTTACTTGGATCCTGCAGCCTCTATTGAATTCGGTAGAATTCAGTAGAAGTAAATTCAGTAGAAATTCTGGTTGCAATTCTTATACTATGTCGTAGCTCTCGTACATAGGTTCGAATCTTCGTCATGGCCCTTGTGGATTTGTTCATTTGATACATCACGCTATTGTGATTTCTGTGTGTAAAGCTACATGACCATTAATTTAACACCCAGTCCCAGTCCTAAGGATGATTAATAGTAATGTAGGATCTTGACTCGTCCTGCCCTCCCCTCAGTTTATTTTGATACAGTCCAGCGCTGCATGCGTTGTGGTATTCTTAACAAGCCATTTTTCTGAGGCTACCAGAGCACAACTGATACAATTCCTTATTAATAGCAGAAAAAGGAGAAAAAAGTGACACTTTTGTGCTCTATCACCATTAAGAATTTTCAAAAGTAACAATGGATTAACTTTGTTACTTGATGTTTACTGCACTTGTTTATGAATGATGTGCTTGTGGAAAAGCTTAAAGTTCGAGCATGGACACAAACTCCTCACAATACATATTTTATGAGTTGGCAAATGTGGTAAATGAAATTTACTTTTTATTTTTTAAGTCGGCAACTACGACAAAACAAGAAGTTGCCATTCAGTATTGCTTGATAATTTGGGTTTGCACTTCAAGCACAGTTATTGTACAAGCATGTGTATTACATTTACATATTTGTCCACTCATTTGTTACAGTTTCCCTACACTGTATACAATTTTGTTTTAATTAGTTCTATAAAAGTATTTGAATTCGTTAACTGAAGGTGGTCTTAAGCGGTGCGATAACTGATGTATTTGCTTAATTTACTTTTTTCTTTTTTTACAGTTTGACAAAGAAAATATGCATGCTTATATAAGTACTGTAGCTGCTGCTGAAAAATAATACAGTACTTTATTATAATCCTGGTTATTTTGTAGCCAATCGTTTCTAATGCTGTACATATAAAGCACAGGAAATCCAGCTGTGTTTACATTTAACTAAGTTTCCCTTTGTGTGATTACATACTTGCAGTATACACTAGTAACCCCAACACCTCATAGTGCTAGCTCTTTTCTTGCACATTTATTACATTTAATATTTGAGTTTTTATTTTATTTTTACGCATTGCATCAACATGTAGGGTTTTCCAGCCATTCACTGCTATTTGAGAAGAATTCAATAAGACTCGTGCAGGTTTGTTTTGCTAACATAAGTGACTTTGCCTGTTGCCATAGTAACGAGGTACCCCTTATTCTTATTTTGTATATGCTTCATCTATTACTTTGTTCCAGAATAGTTCTCTTAATTGTCTAACTTCTGTGTGTAACACACATTTGTCAATTCTGGTATCTATTTCTAGCATGCTTCATTGTTCTGTTTTAATAATAACAATGTTTATTTACCTGAGGGCCACCATCTCTCAAGTGGCCTCAATGAGGACAGGAAGACAACCGCATGTCAAATGTTCTCTACATTGTTTCTAAAGATTTTTTTTCCAACTGGATTTTGAACTAAAGTAATGTCTTGGCATTTACAGCTTCAGTTGGTGGGTGGTTCCTTATTTGTTATAAGGAAACAGATATCTTTTGACTTGTGTTTGCAGGCCAAGAGCTTTCCCTTCCCCTAGCTCAGGGTAAGTCTTATCCTACTAGATTTTCCTGGAACACGACCCACCAATCACTTAACAACAAGATACGCAATTACTGCTACGTGAACAGAAGTGAACAGTTTAGGGTTGACACCTGAGGACCACATAAAGAACATTGTGCAAGGAGCATATGCTATGCTTTACAACTTCAGATTTGCTTTTTAATACAGGAATGGCAAAATATTAAAAAATTGCTTGAGAGACCAAGGTTGGAATATACAGTGGTTGTATGGTGTCTCTCTCTCAAGAAGCGCATCATTATACTAGAAAAGGTGCAAAGACATACAACTAAATGTCTTCTGGAGCTGAGAAACAAGAGCTATGAGGAAAGATTAAAGGCATTAAATATGCCAAAGCTAGAAGATAAAAGAAAGAGATATGATCACTTGTGTACAAAACAACAGGAATTGACAAAATTGTCAAATGAAGAATTTTTGAAAACCAAGAACAAAAGCATACAGGTTCAAACAGAAGAAGCAAAGTTGCCAAAAAAACATTAGAAAGTTCACTTATGCAAACAGAGTGGTAAATGCTTGGAACAAGTTAAGTGAGATGATGGTGGAGGCCAAAACCATCAGCAGTTTCAAAATGTTACTCGAGAGAATACTGGGAAGACAGGACACCAAGAGCATAGCTCACATCTTGTAACAACACTATGCAGTTACATTTAGGTAATTACGTTGTCAATCTTCTCTGGCCAGATCTTCCCACTCCATTTCCATCTTCACCGATGAGTCTGTCTGCAGACGGTTTAGGCTACTGATTTTCCTGACCACACTTACGTGTGTCGCCTACCTCTGGAGACTAGCATCTTCACGCAGAATTTATGCTATTCTCTATGCTCTTTCTCCTGCTTTCTCGTTGTCAATCCTCCTTTGTGGTTGTAGTTGACTCTTGTAGTTCCCTCATGGCTCTGGGGTCCTTTAATCCAGTCCATCCAGTGGTCGTAGAGATTCAACATTGGCTGTTTATCTCCGGTAAATTTAAATCAATAGAATTTTGCTGGGTTCCCAGCCATATTGGTGTCTTTTTAAATGAACGTGCGGACGCTGCCGTTAAAGAAGCTATATACTTTTGTCCCATCTCCTGTTAAGGTATTCCTTATTCAAGCTTTTACCCGGTTATTAATTCCTCCATCCTTGCCCGTTGGCAGGGTTGTTGGTCTTCTGTTGCTGGTAACAAACTGCATACTCTTAGAGTAGTGTCCCCCCCATGGCCTTCCTCCTACCACCGTAACTGGCGATGGGAAATGGCTCTGACAAGGTTGTATATTGGCCATACACGCTTAACTCGTGGTCACTTAATGAAGCGCCGCCCTGCTCCTTATTGTCCAAACTGCATTTTCCCTCTTACTGTCGTGCATATCCTTGTTGAATGTCCTGACTTCAGGATGAGCGTGTGTCTTGCTTTCCGACCGTCCCTCGCGGTCACTTGTCCCTCGATAGAATTCTTGGTGAATCTGATTCTTTTGATATTGTTCGCCTTATGTGTTTCTGTTCTCGTATTGGCATGCTTGGTGATATTTAGCGTCCTCTGATTATTCCGCACATTTGATGGTGCTACATTGCCTTCCCGGTTTGGTGCCTTCTTTTGATAATTACTTACTTACTTTATTACAAATCACTGGAAAATTATATATATAGAATATAATGTACAGTGCTTCAATCATTTTGTTCGCTTTAATAGACATGCTCAAAATACTGTGTATGAGTAAATTTACAAGATTGTACCTAATTTAATACATTAGCTGTGTTAATCAAATAGATGCTACCCCTATCATGATTTTATTGTCTTTAATATGCTAAACAAAATTGTTATTAAAAAAAAGCCTTGTGTATCATACCACCTCTGCAAATAAAGTATGCAGTATCAATATATATACCTCTGTTAAAATTGTGGGCTAGATTGAGTATTCTCCAGTGACTGCCTAGCACCTATCATGAGCCAGCTTGGACCACTTGTGAAAAGTTCCCTGTGGTGCGGGAGCCAGAATGCCCTCTTGCCAGATGTGTGTGATCCTGACCAGGGCACAGTGGGATCTTGCCTTACGGAGCTACTACTTGTGATAGTACACCTAGTTCAGTGGTGCTTTTTCATATTCCCTGCCTTAATTTGTATACATTGTTTACTGTTGTGAAAATAGGGTATGATGGTTTCCTTCAACTGTAGTGGTTGATATTCTTAATTTTTACAAAATATATTTTTCTGCTTCTTTCAAAACTTGCCTAACCTGGATTTTACAAATTTGGTATTTTTCAGATATTTTTAAATTTTAATAACTTGGCTATAAAATCGGTGTGCAGCTTTGTGATTATGGGCATTATGAACTTCTGCAAAATGTTTATTTGCCACAACACATTAGTTGTCTTCAATGTTGGAAGAAAGGTTCAATGCATAAATTGTTTGGATTCTTTCAGGAATAAAATTGCACTGTATTTAGAAATTTAAATTTTTTTAATTAAGGATATTGTACTGTAATTTGAGGCTTTGGGAAATATTGTGCAATTTGAATACAGTATATTTAAACATATTGAGTTATTGAAAGACTCATTTGTCTGTAATAGAATAAATATAATTTATAAGATATTTTATACTGTACTGTACTGTACTTGCACAGAACTCCATTGTAGAGAATAGTAAATTTCTTCTTTATCTTCACTTACATTTTAAATCTATTTAAATTATTTGTACTGTGCACTTTAAAAAAAATTGAAAATAAGTAGAAGGAAGTGATACAAATGTATCAACACTTGTGCTGAAGCATTGTTAATTTTCATGTTTTATTTACACAGGTTTTATGACATCAAATGAAAAGAAAATTTTTGATGCCCTTGATGAAAAAACTTCCCACCCAAAATATTGGATGCCATTAGTGTGGGCTGGCAGTATTGTTACCAGAGCTAGGAAAGAGGGCAGAATCAGGGATGATTTTGCTGTTAAGACAATCATAGATGAGATCAACAGATTCCGAGGACTATGTGGAGGACTTTTAAGTTATGACTGGATAAGCATCCCATTAGTTTACACACAGGTATAGTATGTACATTTTGTGTCAAATAAATCATTTTAGTATTAAAATACTGTAGTTATTTTAAAATATTGTACACTGAATACATTGGCACCTCCAAAATCCCAATTACATTGTTCCATCCCTGATCCAGATTTGTATGAAATCACACCCTCTCCAGGATGCAACCCCACAACTCCTGGGTACTGACTTACTACTAGGTAAACAGGAGCATTAGGTGTTAGGAAATGCACCCAACCATGTCTGTCCCGCCCAGGATTCGAATCCGGAATTCTTGATTATGAGCTGAGAACGAACCCAACTGTGCTACTGGGACCCTTACCGGGAATTTATTACCTTTAATCCTTCATACATTAGGATTCTCTTTACCCTGTGAAGCATTGCATACAAGGCTAAAAGCAGTATTCACAGGGGATGTGAGTACATCCCATCATACATATACATCCGACATATATATATGGTTCGCTGTCGGTGCCACATTCATAAAGAATTAATTTGAATTGTTGATTCCACTGATTTTATTTATTTATTTATTTATTTATTTATTTATTTATTTATTTATTTATATACTGTACAAGAATGGTGATCCCTTCACACATGTACAGTGTTATCATTTTATCAATAGTAAATGATTAGCAATGTAATATTGAATGATAAAACATAATGAATGGACAAGTCATATTCTTTATCACAATACAATAGAGTACTGTATATACAATCAACAATATACAAGCACTACCACACATTAACAATTGACTTCAACAGCACCTTACTGCTTCAAGAGTTCAGGTGTACAGTGTTCGTCATGAATTATTATATACATTGCATACAGATACAGTACTATTACTCCGTTTTTACACACACACATTCCGTTCTTTACCATATTTGATGCGTGGTGTACACTGACTCCCCGCTTCCTTACACTTACTCGCCTTCCTTTTCTACTATCAAATATAGTATGTATAAACTTTTCACCAGATAAGAGAATAGTTATTTGTTTTCTCCAAAACAGGTGGTGACATTGGCTGTTTACTCCTTTTTTCTTGCCACCATCATGGGTCGTCAGTTTCTCGATCCAAAACAAAATATCAACAAACATCATGTCGACTTCTATGTGCCAATCTTCACATTTCTGCAGTTTTTCTTCTACATGGGTTGGCTGAAGGTTGCTGAATCTTTGGTTAATCCCTTTGGAGAAGATGATGATGATTTTGAAGTCAATTGGCTGGTGGACAGAAATTTGCAGGTATGTGAAACAGTACAGTTGATAGTGCGTTGTGTGTTCATGTGTTTTAATTTTTACACAAAGTAAATGCTCCACAAAGGACTCCTATCTCTTGCTAGGCTTTATTTGACCTTGTCCTACCATGACGAAAAAAAGGAGGGGACGAGAGACACGAGTCTGACTCTAGCCACATTGAGAAACAAGCTTACATTAATAGAAAGAGATAAAAAATACAATACTATAAACAGCCCCTGGCAGCAGTAATTGGTAACACAAGGAAAGCAAATTATTACTCTGCTAACAACTGGTGAAGGAATTATGTTGCTCTGGCTACCACCAGGTTGCGGCACCCATAATTACAAGTGTTGGTAGATCAAAAACCTCACTTTGAGCCCAGCTAGAGTCCACCAATATGATGTCCAAGCTTTGCAGTGGCAAAATAAAAATGTCGAGTAATGTTTCCATTAAGACCGTTGTCTCGGCACAAGGAATTTATCCATACTCTTTGGTTCACTTCATAAAATGTGTAACTACTGTACTGTACTGTTTTATCACAGGCTATAGCTATATGATGCTTCTGTTTTTGGAGACCAACTAAGATAACTCTTGTGAGTGCCATTTGGCCTTTGTTTTCAGCTTTGGTTATTTTTGAGATTCCCAGAGATGATGTAATGAGGTTTCTTTATGGTTTTTGGGTCTCGGGCTCTCTTCTTGCCTTTCCTTATCTTTATTATACTGTATTGGTGTTGGTTAACGTTCAACTAATATAATAATTTTTTTTCTTCCTGGGATTGTCCTTGGCAGTAGATGTTTCTGTGCAGGTTTTTGTTTAGATTGTACTTGCAGGGGGCAGTATAGTGTCATGCAGGGGCAGTATAGTGTCATGCAGGGGCAGTATAGTGTCATGCAGGGGCAGTATAGTGTCATGCAGGGGCAGTATAGTGTCATGCAGGGGCAGTATAGTGTCATGCAGGGGCAGTATAGTGTCATGCAGGGGCAGTATAGTGTCATGCAGGGGCAGTATAGTGTCATTCAGGGGCAGTATAGTGTCATTCAGTTGGATCCTTCTTTGCATGGATTAGCTGGATATGGTGTTGAGTTAATGATATTGACTCGTCTTGCTCCCCTCTGTCCAACCAGTTGTTGGGAGAAGTGATTATTATACCCATGTATGTGTGACCAATGCCAGGTATGTATAATTATTTTCAGACTCCCTTCTCGTGTGTGTGTGTGTGTGTGTGTGTGTGTGTATCGTGCAGGGGCCTGGTTGATGGCTCACTCATTTAAATTCAAAAGCATGTGGTTTTGTTTCTGCCTTCCCTCATTTTTGAGGAGGCGATTAACTTTAATCTTTGAAAATTTGGAGTCCTCTGAGTATTACAAAGTAATTGTAATACCAGAAGTAATATTAATCATAAGTTACTAAAAAAAAGTGGGTATGATTGCGTGTAAATTAATTGTATGTATAAATATGGGTTGTAATAAGTGAGGATTGTTACTATAGCATATTTACAGTATTTTTAAAACTGCAAACATAATCAACACATTTAATAGATTTATTGTATTTAATGTTGTAGACATTTCAATTGAATCAGTAATGTAAATTAAATGTTTTTTAATTTCTCTTAAATTGTTCAAAGACAATACATTATTTTATTCCATTTAGAAGGTTATTCCAAAATTTAGAAATCCTTATTTGCATGCAGCACTTGCTTTCGTGAAGTTGGACTGTTGTAACATCAGCTAAAGTACAGTTGATACTGTATTTGGTTTTGTTGCGACCATCTATGAAGCATTTAAACCATTCTTCTCCCTTTATCTCTTGCAGGTCTCGTACCTTATTGTGGATGAAATGCACAGTGAACATCCAGAACTTATTCAGGACATGTATTGGGATGAAGTATTCCCTCAAGAACTTCCATACACGATCGCTTCGGAGGCATTCAGACGGGAACCTCCACAAGGTTCAACTGCAAATATTGAAGTACCAGATGCAGAACAAGAATTCTTGCCTATGTTGGAAGAGGAGGAGGATGAGGGAATAAATGAATCCATGTCTGGTTATCCGGTCAGTTCTACTTTATTTATATTATACTCTAGCTGCTTTAGAACAGAAATGTATTTTGGCCATTGCTAAGTGTTTCACTTTACATTGCCATCTTTTTTCCCTAAATTCATGGTTTGATTTTGGGTTGACATCATAATGGTAAATCGAATAAAAGCTTAACATTTGTTAAAGCCTTGGCTTTATTTGATTCATGCCTAGTGAATTAAAAAAAAATTTATCAAAGTTATTCAGAAGTAATGTTAAGAATCTAATTAACTCACTCTAGTAGTATCATTTAATTATAATTATAGTTAACTAAATTGTACATCGTTTGTCCTGAAACCTAAGTATGGAATTGTACCAACTTTGTATTTTCAGGGTGATGTAGAAAATGGTTCAAAAGCTATTGATATAATGAAGAAAAGTCCAAGGTCATCTCATTCTGGGATAGCTTCGTCTCAGCCCATGCCTCGGAAACCTTCTGTGTTGTCAATGTTATGGAACCGGATGAAATCTGACAGTCATGACAATGTCCGGCGTGCACACATTAGACCAAACGGTAAGCTGTAAATGACGTAGCTGTTATTACAGTCATGTTTAGTATCCATGAATATGATAAGACATATTTTGATAGGCTTTGGTGGGCATTGTAAACAACTAATAGATGGCAAGCCTAGGCACACATTATATATAGGTAAGAGTAATACAAGAAATTGTAATAGTTTATTGGATTTATTAAAATCCCCTCTTGTAACAAAAAAAAAAAAATTAAGTACAGTGTATTACAAAATTAAATTTGAAGTTGTATTATTTGTTGGAGTATTTGAATGATCTGTATTCATATTCTGAACACCTTTTGCTTAACCCAATATGAAAGTGTTTATATATAATATATATATATATATATATATATATATATAGGATTTGCCTTTTATCAGTACTGTATAGGGTTCCAGCTCATGTTGTCCTTCCTGCCAAAGCACATTAATTTATATTTTTCATAAATCACATTATCCTCTGGCTCTGTTTGTGGCTGGAGTAATGAAAACTTCTTTGCACATCTTTTGATATCACTTGATGCTAGGTAATGGCAATATGGGTTTCTTGTGTTACATAGTGTGGAAGGCAGTACAGAAAATCAAGTTCATCTCTGTACATTGTCCCGAGTATCTTGTAACCATCATGTTTTACAATGCAGTATTTCACCTGTTCTTTTCTGGGGCCTTTCTTGCTCTACTGTGGAATTGAAAATGTGATATAAATGATCATGATGTTTAATGTAAACTCTGTGCTTTTGTTTTTTTAATATGTAATTAATCAGTTTCACTGCACTCTTTTTTTTCCAGCAAGTACCACATCATTTCGCCATAGGCGGCATCGTGGCTTGATGAGATCAGCATCAAGAGTGTCATCAACATCCCATGTAACTTCTCAGAGCCCAGAGATGATTGCAAGAAATCAAACTCTGGCAGCACAGGTTTCTATATTAATATTTTATGTGGTTAAGACTCGTGTGGCATCAACACAGTTATACAAGCATTAACAGAATAGAAAAAAAAGCAAGCCATAGAGAGAACAGTAACAGGGTCATTATAACATTGTATACAACATATAGAGTTATTCCCAACAGTATTGTTTTTACTTTTAAACTAATAAAGGCTTCATTTGATGTACTGTAATAAATAGTAATTATGATTTTATAAATAAAGTGAATACAGTATTAACATAAATATACAGTACCTGCATCCAACATGAAAATTTGCATGCCTGTTCCCAGGTATTATAACTCAAAAGTGTTTACAAAATCATAAAACTATGTAGAGACAGGCATGAATTGGCTCAGTGTGTATGCAGTTGCTATTTAGATAGTACACCTTAAGGATGGTATGATGATAATGCTCAAGGCCTGGACTCATTGAGCATTTACATATTGACTTACAAACCTGCACATCTTTTTCTCAATCTTTGGTAGCATTTTTGCATTTATTAAATAATTTATTAGCATCAAAACTTCCCAATGAAATGTTAGTTATAAACAGCCTCCTGGTGCTTCAGAGTTAGTCAGAGGACTCTGTCCCCTCTGATTTAATTTCATACTGAGGAACCAAGCCAAGACTGTAAACTTAAACTCAATAATGATGGATATTTACTTAAACAATGCTACTGACCTCATTGTTAGAGTGCCAGAAAAATTATTTATCAATCGGTCATTTGATGCATCCTGAAGGTATCTGTGAATCTAGCAGCTATGATAATGGTAAGTAAACCTATCTACTTGATAAATTTGATAATTTCAAGAGGGTTTTAGTACCTTAATATTTTTTAAATCATTAATTTGTTTTATTTCTGGGATGATCAGATGGTGAGTTGTCTAATTCTCTTTTGCAGGATAGTGCCATTTTTCGCATGTCAGATCTATCAATTAACGCACCTGCCACGGATGAAATTTCCAGTCCGCGACCTAAAGGCAGACTTAATTCCTACGATGATGATGAGCCAATACTTATTAAAATAAAACGCAGAGACCAAGATGGTAAGCAGACCCATTTTTTTTTTATTCTTTAAACCTACAAATGTGGCAAACATGTAATGATATAAATGTAGATTTTAATAAGGGGGAAAATGTATTTATACATTGGAGCCGCTTAACCTAGGTTCTGTGGTTGATGAACTTTCAATTGCAAAAAGATTTTCCTATTGAAATGGTTCATAGGAATTTGGTGGAAGACACAGATTCCTGAACAAAATTACAGGGTGTAGTTTATTGATAATCCAGACACTAATTTCTTGCCAATCATATCTTTAGAATATTTTTACTATTCTTGTATTTAAGTCGTAATATTAAAAAATTAAATAGTACATTGTAATGGTGCTTAAGTATATTTCTGTCTTTCACTTGCTTGTTTCCTTACATTAGTACTTCTCACAGTTCAACATTTAAATCCAAACATTAAAGACAAAACAATGTTTATGCTTTGTATTATTAATAATTAAATATTGTGGATGGTAAGAAAAAATGCACTCCTAGGCCTAGACTAGTACGTATACCTACTGCAATATTAGACCTAGGATTGCTTATTTATATCTTGGACAAATTAGGTTAGGTTCTTTAGTTTTTCATTTTTCTTTTTAATATGCTGTTTGGGCTAATTCAATAATACAAAATGTAAACATCTTTAGGTCCAACAGTCACTTTTTGTATGATTCACCAAATAGTTGCTATAAGCACTATAATTATTGGAGGATGTATGAGGGACTTATCACTAGAGGAGTAAAAAGCCACACCATCTGTTATCACTTGGCCTTGGATGGGGCATCATGAGCACTACTTGTATAAATAACCAATATGGTTAAGAGTAGTTAACCTTCACAGTGTGCTTGTTACAAACTGTTAAAGGATTTAACATACTTAATATCTTCTCCAGGGCACGTTATTATGTCACACTCTTCTGATGACTTCGACATGACACAAGAACCCACTCGATCACAACTATTTCATAAACAAAAGAGACCAGGATCAAGTAAGATACCTATTGAAGTAAGTATTTTTGTTTCCTTAATACTCTTTGGTATATTTTATTTTAATCTTTCAGAATATTGTGTATCTATACCCATTATAGACTGAGGTGTTCAGAAGTGGTTCCTTTTGCCTCGCCATGGAATTGGCAGCTCGCCTTGTATGTGACTTGCATTTTGCCTGGCCTGGAGAATAAGATATTACAGTATATCTATTCCCTCCTATTCAGCTTCTTTCCTTGTCTCCCTGAAGCCCAAGTCTAGTGGCTTTGCCAAGGTTCCACCTCTCTCAGAAGATTGGCTTACCTTCCTTTCTGGATGGTTCATTGTTCTCCACTGATCATCATGTTTTTTACCGCCACTGGTATGGGAGATAGGAAGGTATGTCTTGGTGTCCCTTTTTTGTCAGTCTTCAAGTTGGTGATAGCAGGTGGGTGGAGAGAATATAGGGCCTTCCATCAATTTTTAATTCAATGTTACGGTAGTTTTTTATCTCGGGTGATGGTGAGATGTTTTTGATGAGCTAATCAAGTTGGCTAGAGGTTTCATCCATCTGATGCTAGTTCCTATGCCGCTAGAGTAAACTTTCTCTATTAATTGGGTTCTTATATTATTGTCCTTTCTCAGTTAACGAGTTTGTCACTTTAAGACTGCGTGTACGAGCTGCGTGTACAAGGCTACATTTTGCTGGTGGTGCTTTGGGGAAGTGTTGGGGACCCTTATGGTCTTCAACAGATCCTGTCTCATTAGTTGGGTTCAGGAAGTCACTATTAGCATGCTTTGTTTTCCTACCTTGATCATAGTGGAGAAAGATTTGTGAGCCTTCCATTTGGAGCCCCTTGGTGATGGAAGCTTGGTTCATTCAGCCTAGGATTCATTACAGTGTGTCCTGTAGCTGCAGTTCAGAATTATCTGCAGGTGACTTGTAACACGTGCAGTCATTATTTCGTCTTCCTCTAGAGTATGTAGTCTTACCCTAAGGCTTGATTGTCCCTGATTATGCATGAAGTTGTAATGATTGGTCAGCCTAATGTTTACTCTTGGGTCATATAATATATCCAAGTGTAGTATCCTGGCACTATTGTTTTCAAATGAATTCACAGCCAATATCAATTGGTTCCCAGGGCTTCTGGGATGCAAATTGCATTCTAGTGGCTTGTTTCATCCTGGACCTTGCTTATGTCAACATTGTACTACACTAGGCCACTTTTTTTCATCCTCGAAGTTAAGCAATCATTCCCGGAGGTCCTGTTGACATGGCTTCATCTGTCATGAGTACATTCCATATTTTGTTTTGTATTTTCCTTGTTATTTTGTATTGTGAACCCTGCAAAACAAATTCTCTCAATGGCAACATAGTGAGCAAACTAAGGAAAGCTACTGGGGAAAGCCAGCCCAGAAATAGAGCACTGAGTGAACTGAAATGCTACATTCTTGGGGGCACTGTGTGTAGCTCCCCATTCTTCTCCTCCTCAATGTCAAAAGTTTTGCTTGGGCTTGAGCGTGATGGTCACTTCACCAGATCCTGAATGGTTCTGGCCACTACATGGTGATGGGGAATATGGTGGTGTTTTTGTGTGCTCACTTCAGAAACTTAGTAGTTTGATTATCTCTTGATGTTTCTCAGAGGAAGGCAGTGGATTTTGTGAATTTTTGCTGATTTTTACAGGTGGTTCACCTTGGTAATTTCATTAATCATTGATCCCATATGTTCCCTTGCCCTGTACAAGAAAAGGTTGGCTTGAAATGATGCTGGAACTGTCACTACTGTACCAGCACCAAAAACCGAGAAGTTACTGAGGATGTTGCCCAGAAAGTGTCATTTCATTATAATTACTGTTTTTGCCTGTGTATAATCATTTTTATGGGAAATATTTGTTGAATTTAATAATAATTTTGTGATTTGTTTCTTACAGAAAAAACCCACTAATGAGACAATATCTCCAGTGGCTAAAAGCTCAACAAGTGGAGATAACAGGAGTATGGGTAGCAATGCATCAATCCGCACGTCAATATTCCAGGGAGATGCTGATGACACAGTGATTAGTGAAGAGGAGGAGGAAGAGAAAGAAGAGACAGGTAATTGATTTTTTCCTCTTGCTTTTGAATTATTTTGATTATAGGAGGACACAAGCTCTGCCATTAGCAGATACGCTCTCACTTAGCACAATTATGTGTGTACACTTATTCATGCTGATATTTGTACTCTTCAGGCACACTGCTGGGCATGCATACTTGTGTATATACGTGTGCATGCTCTCTCACTCTCACTCACTGTAGTGTATATATGTACAATATATATATATATATATATATATATATATATAAATCTAATATAATAATTATTGATTTTTATCTCACTTGCCTTTTTGCACCCACGAGTGAGAGAAAGGATGCATGTAAAATTGTGTATGTGAGTTAAAATACTGTATTACAGTATTTTTTAAAATTGGGCCGAGATGGGAAATTGCTATTGACTTGCAAAATATAGAGGGAAATTTTCTTAATTATTATTGTTCTCGGGAATTATTTACTTACTGTACATATATAGTTAATATATATATAAGTACCACCTAGATTCAACAAACGACAATATATAGGACCAACCCCAATTCGTTGCAGTGAGAGATTTGTTGCAGCTAGAGATGCCTCGAGTATGCATTTCCTGTGTTCTATGGACTGGTTTCATTTAGCGATACTTTAATTTAAACCCATAATATAATGGACAACTACCAAATGAAGATGTTTGCCAAAAAAAATTTGGAAACTTCTAGCTTATTTCTCAAGTTTCCAGTCTCAAAACTCGTTTTCAAAGGCAGCATCATATCTAAGTGAACAAAAACCTTGCCAAGCAGAATAAAAACAAACCATAGAATTTGGTTTTAAATATTCTCATTAGCTTTCCCAAAGCTCCAGCTGTGTCTTGTAATGTTGTGTACATCTACAAAAATCATCAAAACCATTATACTTTTTTTCTCTTCCTTGGTGTATCTCCATTCAGTAATGTATAAAATGTATTTACCAAACTTCAAACTTCTGGCATTTATGTATACATACTATTCATTTTAAATTCTACACATTGGTCTTGGAAATCTGGGAGATTTCTGGGTTTCTGCTGTTAGTTTGATCTGGATTCTTCACACTATTATCCACAGATCATGTCATTTTTTTGTTCTGGGTTTATATTATATACGAATTTACCCATCCAGTTGCTTTAGGTTTGGCCATATACTCTGCCTGTACTCGAGTTTTGGGGACTTACAGGTAAACAGATTCAGTAATTAACTGATTCAGGGCTGCATTCATTAATCTGTTTTCTTTTACAACGGTTTTTATTATTTATAGTGCACAAGGGCACTGTGGCTTTTCCATAGCATAGCACAATATGCCACAAGAGCAAATAATGTGAGCACTAATTGTATTCAAAGGTGTGGTTGCCATTTAGCAATATTGAAACATAAGACACCAATGATGGTCATTAGAAAGTAGTACAGTATATAGAGAAACACTGGGCAGCTATCCCAATGGAAGTGGAAAATTAATAATTCAATGTATAATTTAAAATGTACATCTAACAATGTTCAATTAATTTATAATGTACAATTTGGAACATATGAATGGACCCAAGAAATATGTACAGGCAAGTGAAAAGGCTTAGAGAAGGAAAGCTCTCTTCATTATGAACAGCCACCATTATGAACATACCGACTTGTAGTCACTTCACTTGAAGAACCCAGCTACAGTGGTCGATGCTTTACAGCAAGTGACATTGCTGGTGGGGCTGGTATCTGCAGTTCTGATACATCTACAGTTATCTACAACAATCAGAATTATCAGTTTTCCATCAAACTGCATTTTTCTAGTGCATCTCCAGTGTGTAGTGGTATTAAAGGTCCAGTGGTGTATGTGCAAAATGATGCCAAAAACAGTTCTGGGACTTAGAATGCCATGCAGATGGGACAATTTAAGAGCTGACTGTGGCCCAATATATACTGAGTTTCTTCACAACCTTAGCAAATCTTCCTACATGATGGGGGTAAAAATCTTTACCAAAATCAATTGAGAGGACATTCCACCTGCTTTACTGCTCGGTGCTTGGCCCAATCAGAATCAATTGGCCCTAATGTGGCAACACACAATCTCTGAAGAATTTTATGCTACAGACATCACGAAGTAAATATCGAAAGAAAATGCATTCATCACACTACTCTGATACTTTGTTAATTAAAATTGCCAGTAAAATGTATCAATGTTCTCAATAAAAGAGCTCCGAAAAATCCACATGACATTGTTTATTCCAAGCATAAGACGTATTAAACCATGCAGTCTTTCGAGAAATTTACAATGGCATCGCTTTTCCTGTAGGAAATGTTAAAATTCATATGGCTGTCATAAAAACTGGTGTTTCTAATGTTATCTCTGCTTTTATTCTCTTTCCAAGAATTGATGCAGCATAAGAAAAGGGGAGGCCTGAGCACCATGAACCTCAAAGGATTATCCAAGATCCTCAGTCCAACAAGGTCATTCCATGGGGAACCCAGTGCATCATCCTCCCCCATTAAACCCAGGTGTGCAAACTGTACATAACACAGAAACAAGCATGCCAGTGGATTGTTAAAACCCTTTGGAGCTTATCCTTTCTGGGGGGGGGGTGAGGGTTGCTATTACACTCCCATAATTCCAATTGATTTCTAAATAATTATTGGCACTGTAGAAATTCTGGTGGAACAGCAAATAATGTAAATTGAATACAGTATATTGTAGTATTGTATGGAAGATGATGTGATATCTGTTAACAAGCATAATAAGCAGACGAAGAGTCACAATAACGTAGTTGGTTATGATAACCAAACCACACATCAGACCCTGGAAAAACGACGACGTTTCGGTCGGTCCTGGACCATTATCAAGTCATTGTCTCTTCATTTTCTGATGTATGGTTTGGTCATTAAGCATTGTAAGTGAGAGGCATATAATAAAATTAATCTGGAAGAGGGAACTTGGCCATTTTCATATATTAACGTTATAAATGGAGTTGTCGACACCAATCTAAACTTGAATTACTTGAGAACATTAATTCGGTCTATGCACAGAGGGTTGAGGTATTTTTGAGCACCAGTTTTTTCTTTGTGAAGCTTTAGTGAAGCTTATCCCTTTCCAAGATTTCACAAGATGCTTAAAAAGGTACTTTTCATAATCATTGGCTTAATCGCTTCAAAATTAACATGCTATCTTGAACAACAACTAACTAATTTTCCTGAACCCAGATCCATAACAGTTAACCTAAACATATACATATCCATACTGAAACACACACACACACACACACTATACAAAGATCTTACGGGTAGATTATAAAGCAAACATGCCCATATTCATAACAATACCTTGAATACACAAATAAATTACACTTGCAATGATATATATATCGATGAGAAAAACAACTAGAACAATGAGGTGACTGGAACCAGCAGTCAGGGTACTCCCAGCCATGCACCTCACCCCAGTACTATGACATGGCTTAAGTTTTACAACCTGGGATTCCACTGAATCCATGAGAAGTCTGCAGGGCCTCTTGTGAAATCAGTCCAAGTTGTACATACAGTATAACCCCTCATTGCTCCAGTTGATTTCCTCATTAATATATATCACATTAGTATGATTTCTTTGTGTATCTGAAACTGGAGCATATGGTTGATGGACTACCTTACCTACACCAGTGCATGCAAGTTGTATGCAAAACTTGGACTGGTTTCAGTAGAGGCATCCAGACTGTGGATTCAGTGGAATCCCAGGTTGTATAATTTATGCCATGTCATGGTACAGGGGTAAGGTATATAGCTGGGAATACCCTGATTACTGGTTCAAGTCACCTCATTGCTCCAATTGATTTTCTTATTAATTTAAATTATACATGACGAGGGAATTGAATCCAACTCTATAAATTAAGACAAGAAATGAAATATTATGTCAGACTAACATATTGCATTGCTATTAAGTATTATTATTGACCTTGGGCACATGGTAAGATTCTCAAAGATAAATTTCACTATTTCTTGTCGTACCACATGCCCCTTGTCTGCCCACCATGAGCAATAATGCCACTGCTCTCTTGATAACTGTCAATGGCACATTTTGAAGTCTGTAGGTAGGTTTTCCACCTACAGCCAAGATGAAGCTGACTTCGAGCAGTTTGCATCTTGGCCAGGAAGTAATGGGTTACTCTAACATGTATAACACTAGCAAAGATCATCTTCTAATTGGTTGCGCATTAGTAAATAATAAGTGGATTAATGGTGAATGAAGTAAAAACATAAACAAAATAATATTCTACCTTTAATGCTGGAGCTGTTAACTTGTGAAATCTCAAGTGTGTGTGAATATTGTAATGAACTGCCAAACTTTAGCAGTTTGTTAGTTTGGGGAGGGGAATGGAGCAGATATGGGTGAGGATGGATGTGAGAGTATGGTGGGATTGTACGAGTATAGTATAGGGAAGTAGAACTTTGTGTATACATGTTAGAACTGGAAAATTTATTCGTAGCAACTTGTACAACTTGAGCAAAACAAAGGATTAGTTTTTCCAGATGCGAAGTAAACCTCATTTTTGCACACTGTATTTGTATAGAAGTACTGTATTTGCAATATGAAATTTGCTAAATGTGATTAATTGGTGGGTTTAAATCTATGATCTGGAAGGTAGTCAAAATTTATTCCCCCCAAGTCTCTTCACATGATCAGCTAACTTGAAATACTGATGATCTTACTGCATGCTTTTTTCTTTTGTTTTATTTTTTGTAAACTGCTACAGCATGGCAACTGAATGAATCATTTCTTTGTTTAAGCTTTGTAATGAGCTTAATATTGGTGAAACATTTGTGCTTAATTATTGTGTGGTTAGTGTACAGTACCTTTTTTTGTACCTAACTTGTATCTTATTTAATCTGATTTCAGATATTTTAAGAGGCATTTCAAACTAAAAATTTGATTAACCATTTAACAGGAGACATTTATACACTACTCATGGCTTGTGTTGTGACTTAACCATTTTCATTTGCAAGTTACTCATTATAGTACCAATAATATACTATATCATGTTGATAAATTACTCTGCATTTTTCTATTGCTGTTTTTTCATACTTTAAGCTTAATCCCCCAAATTATTATTGAAGCATATTAAGTTTTCCACTTGTTCTAATCCTTAATTTTTTTTTTAAACTGAATAGCTGTATATAGTTTTTTATCTATAGATATATTTGTGCATAAAAATATTTTTATATTGTTATTACTAACTCGTATATAAAACAACCTTCGTGAACTGAGATGCAAATTGCTTATTATTTTATTAGGAACTAAAATAGATGCTTAATTAAATGAATATTTATTCATTTATTAAATTTGCCCGAAACGCATTGCGTAATAGTGGCTTTAGGCATTGTATGTACTAGCTCTATCTATATATCAATCCATTAATGTAACATCACTTGTATGTACTGTATGTACCTTACCTGAATAAACATATTTATTTATTTATTTATTTATAATATTATATTAACATACCAGAGCTTTCCTAACTATGCTTAAATAAGCTTTGAAGGTAAAAAAGGATGTCAGTTCCAGTATATCCTTAGCCTAATTCTTCATTATTCATTTTGTTTTTATATTATAAAAATTACTTTTATATTGGTTATTATTATTTGTGCTCTAATAGTAAAGAAAAATGCTAATAATTTTATTGTTGTTGTAGCAGCAGTGAAGCCTTAGCCACGGGAACGTCTCACCCGGAGCACCTTTCACGTGTAGATTATGAGCAACAAAGTAGCACCAGGTCACAAAAACAGGACGGAGCTAGTGCTAGTGAACCAGTGTCCCCAAGTCCCAAGTCTCCGGTAACCCATTGGAGAAATGCTCAGAGTCTTGCCACTCTGAATGCTTCAAACAAAGCTACAAGCTCTCAGTCTGTGACTTCTCCACCTGCCGAGACAGATAATTCTACATTTTATAAGCCATTCAGTGGAGATCTGAACATATTTGTCGAAGAAGCAAGTCCAGAAAGTGGCAGTCCAGAAAAAGTATTTAGTACACTGCAAACTGAACAAGCATCTGGAGATGCTGATATTTCAGAACAATCAGTAGCTAAGGATGCACTAGAAACAATAATTGAAGGCCCATTAGAAACTATATCGGAAGATAAATTTGAGGATGAGGCATCGAGTAGAAAGAGGCTCATTTCAGAAAGTGAATTAGAAGCAATACCAGAAGCAGAAGACAGTTATAGTATTCTTGAAAGTAAGAAATTGTTGGACGATTGACTAAAATTTGCAAGACAGACTTTTATTTCATACCGTCATGATAGTTTTCTCAATAATCATCCATCATTCAAGATTTTTTTTTTAACTGTAGAGAAGATTTAAACTGTTGGAGTGCAAATTTTTCAGTAAATTTAGACTTTTTCTGTATCCATTACAGAGTGGCATGGACAATCACTTGTAAGACAGCATTCTAAACCTTGCACAGTATTCTGTATATTTACATCACACTCCTCTACCATTTACCTCCCTATGATGCCTTTCCATCTTGTCAGTTTATTTCCCGCTTGTGTTGATTTATATTAAGTATACATTTGTCATTCATTTGTTTCCATGCTATTTTGAAATCATTTTGCACTACATATATCTTCCTTATGTTGTGTCTACACTTGGTTCACATATTTACTCTATTCATTCCATATGCAGTTGTTAAAAATTAATTTCTCACATTGTTTTGTACAGTATCACGCCTACAGTATACATGCAATGCCTTCTATTAGAGATGAATTAAACATTTTCTACAAAAAATTTGCTGAACTTCATTCTTACTCAATAAATTTAGATCATATTCATCTGCTAATTTCATAATAATTCCTTGTAATATCTTAAATGTTTCTTCAGCAGTCCCAACAATATTTTCTTGTTATTACTGTAAATATAAAAAATGAGATAATCACCAGTTTAACAAAACTATACAATTTTCCTAATTCAGTTAATGTCTTATTAAATTACCTTCAGCATGTCCCTTCTCAGATATTACCCTATATTTAAAATTTCACAATATTCCTTTGGCCACTTGGCTTGGTGCAGTATGTAACTGGTGAACTGTTAGAGATGCTGTGTGTTTATAGCATTCCCTGTGTTGCCTCAAGCCACAATGTAGTAATGTACAGCCAAAAGGAGATGGCTTTTCAACCAAAGGGAAAAAAAAAACCATAGAATTGTCTTCCTGTCAAATGCCAAGACCAGTACTCCAGTTCAAGATTCAACCAAGAAAAATCCTCAGGAATAACGAGAGAACTTTTCACAAACTACCAGCTCCCTTTTCCCATGAAGGTCACTAGAAATAATAATCCTCGGGTAAATATTCCTCACCTTCAATTCGCTGCCTTTATCTGTCTACATCTTGCACTTGGCTCTTCCTGATAATTAGTCTCTGATGGGTGACCTTTGTAGAAATGCTTTTAGGTAGACCTGTTGAAACATTCTAACTCGCATTGTCACCCATATTCTGCCATATCACTTATTCTACCTCATTTACTCATGCCACAAGCATTTCTTAAGTTAATATGTCTTGCTCCATGTCTGTCAAGCTTCCCTGGGTGAAAGTTGGAATGAGCATACTCACTGGCACTTTTTTATTGACATCCGTAGTAATGTTTTCACTTTCATTATCTTCCCAAATACTGTATCAAATTACCTTGTGTAATCCAGACTTTTTTTCTTTTTTTTTTAAGTTTTTCATTTAAAAACTTTATTATTTTTTACCCTTTACTGTTTTACTTTCACTGTGCAAAAATAATATAGTATATTATATTAAACAGTATATATATATATAATTTTGCTTGGGGCATAATAAATATATTTTCCACAGAGCTGTTTCTTTATAAATTTTCAGTTGCTGTATACAGTAGTTTCTTCTGTAACTTCCTCCATTAAGTTTGTTCATTCATTCATCATTATCCATTTCCCACTGTCGCAGAAAAAAGGGAAATAATATAGTAAAAGAAGGCTATGATATTAAAAATATAAGACAAAGCTTATCCATTATATCATTCATTCTGTATAACATGATGAATAAACAAGCAGTTTATACCGAGTTGTCTAATAATATAATAAACCCAGGACATTGTTATCCTTGTACTGTATTCCTTTCCTTCATTAACTGGAGCAGCAGGAGCACATACTTTGGCCTTCTTTTTCTTAACATTTTACATTCCATCAATAAAATCTGTTATAAAATTTGTTTGAAAATGGGCAAAACATTACACAGTTATGTTGATCGTGTTAAAAGTGCACTAATTATTCTCTTTGACTTGAACAGTACCACACATTTTAAAGTTATTTAAAACCTCTCTACTTCCAGTGACCCCTCTCAACATGCTGATTCCTTTGCTTTTTTTTTTCCTTTCTAATCTTTGTGTATTTATAAAATTGTCACTTCTCATATTCTAAGTTTTAATATTTATCTTGAAATGTTATTTCAGTATACACCATTTTCATTCAAACGTATTAATCTTCATAAAAAAAATTTTCATTGCGCATCATTTATACTATTTTATAATTTGCAAAGCTTTTGGTTTTATATATAATTCATAGGTTTCTTGCATACAGTACATGCATTTGTTACAAATTATGAAGTGCCTCCTTTTTCTATGGCCAATCCCATTATGCTGGATAACCCAAGGCAAAGAGCTCGCCATTAGTTTGGTTCAATTTATATCAAGCTTTTCTTATTCTGCATATCTCGTACAGAGCTTTTGGTGTGATATCCCTATATAAATACATTGTGCAGGAATGTATGGTGGAGGGGGAGTTGAAGTAATTACATAAGTGTAGTTACAGGATAAGTGCTACGCTCATGGTGTCCCATCTTCCTGTAATCATTGTAATATTACACTTTGAAACTGCTGATGGTTTTGAAACCCACCAGAACCTAACTTGTTTTAACTGTCCACAAGTCTGCTCACAAAAGGAAAATATTCGGGATTATCTCCGGCATCTTTGTGTTCTTCATTCGATCTGTTACCTCTTGCTCTAGATGTCGCACATTTAAAAAATTCCTCCTTGTCAGTTTTTTTGAGTCCTGTCATAATTTTGTATGTATGTGGGTGTGTGTACGCATGTGCCTACACTCCACATCATTTTGTTCACATAATTCTCAATCTAGGTGACGTTAACACTTTACCCATATCCCACTCCCATGTACACAAACTTTTTTCACTGGCTTCTTTTCTCTCTCTTTGTATTACTCAATGTCATGTCCTTGTCACTCCTTTTAGGATTTTTCTGTATTTATTATCCATGCACGACATAATGCATAGCCAATACGTATACAGTACATTCATCAGTTTTCATTTGTGTGCTTGCTGTGTGTTATTTGTATTAAACTGTTTCAAATAAAACCATCTGAACTAATAATGTTTTTGTTAAATGTAAATTATTGTGTTCTAATTCTTATGAGTTTCCTGTAGAATGCAGAAATATTTCAAGAAATCGGTTTGTATAAGCTGGTACTGTATCATGGACTAAACTACATAAGTGAATGAATGCTCAAGCATAATCATTGATTCCAACAAAAATAAAATAAAGCAGTGATCAATAAACTGCTCTGTAAAGTAATAATTTTTGGATTAAATTAATACACAGTATGTATTAATATCAGAGAATTTAAATATTGTATTGTGTACAGTTACTATACCTAAACAATGATATTTGAACTTGACAAAACACAAGGCATAAGTCTCCAATTCAGATTACAGTATCATACAACATTCCTTGGGAGAGTAAATGTCAGCTTAGGTATGGTAAAGAATTATGTTGATTTTATTAACAAAATTGAAGCTACAGTCCAGCATTGCCAAAAATAAATACTTTGGATGACCTTACATCTATCTACCTGTTAGTAATACTGCATACGTTTTAGCATTGTGTTACTTGATGTTCAGAGGTGATTACATGTACTGTAGTATCCTCTTATGTATTTACTCTGGTAATTGTTATAGCTATAACAATGACTAGAGTAAAAAAAAAACACTACAGTAAGCATTTGACACACTAACATGCTAATAACACTTGCCCAGTTTTCATTTGGCCATAGTGTGAGTGGAGGGTTAGGATAATCTCAACACGAGCAGTAAAACTGAAAAAGGAATGCAAATTAAAGGGTCAAGTAGGAAAAATGATGCAAGATCAGATGCTGTATATGGAAGTGAATTTCATTGGAAGGTAAATATTTACGAGTGAAGTGTAGAGGACCACACAGTAGTGTTGCAGTGCACCACTAGGGGATACATATTGGGATTGCAGTACATGTAGTGTGACTACAAACAAGGTGTAGGAACCATACTAATTGCCCTTTTGGTAATTGTTTAATTGATGTTGGTTATACTAGTAATTATGATGATTTCAATCCAGCAATAATGTGATAACAGGTAAGACTCGCACATTAAATTAATACTTAGCTCTTTAGACACTCATAAAAATGGAAAGTAATGTAGGCATATGGAATACAAAAAATCAACATACAAATAATTTAGAATTTTCAGAACCTTTTATATCTGGAACTTTAATAATGAGAAATAAGTACGAGTGATGCCAACAAAAATAAAATAAAGAAGTGATTAATAAACTGCTCTGTAATTTAATATTTTTTAATTGATATTAAAGTAATTGTAATGTAATAATTGATATGGTTGAAATCTGTTGCTTGTATTAGCAGGTCATACATTAACTCGTGTTAATGTATGTATGTATAATCAGCAGCTTAGTGTTGTTCAAAAGCTAGATTTTGGGTGTATCGGTAATGTTGCTTTTATTTTCTGCACTTATTTATTCTTCAGGTATACCCACAAACACCCAACATACCTCACCACCAGGCATACCCACAAATACAAAACCTACCACACTACTAGCTGGTGGTGTAGTAGAGTTAAAACAAAAAAATTGTGGTGGTTTTTATGTTTAAGGCTGGTGCATTCATTATTTGGCCTACACTAATTTTAACACCCATTAAAATATAAAACCAATAATTTTGAATTCTCCCACATTGATTTTTGTGTTGCATTCACTGAATTTATTTTAAAATTATGATGAAACACTGAATTGTACCTTTCTGCACAATAGAGTACAGAACATTTTGTGATTATGCCAGGGTAACTTGCTTGTAGAAACATAAGATTTCTGGAAGTATTATAAACTTAAGACATGTTATTTATATATTGCTTGTATAGAAATTGACCATGATCATTTTGAAAAGCAATTCACAATTGCTTTTGATTATTACCTAATTTTTTGGTTCTTTTATTGAATGTTTTGCACTAAAGACAAAAAAAAAAAGGTCATTCTTGTTGAACTAAATGGGAGTTTAAACATTTTGCTAAGAGAGAACTTCACTCTTGTTGCCACTCATTCAGAAATTTCATTATGAATAAATAGAAACATTGAATTGAGGTAACAAAGTTAACATATAGTTAAAAGGTTTCAGAATTGTTGTACAGTAATACTATCTTGGTATATAATGTACTTAAATGTGATAATTACTTTAGTCAGAAGAGCATCTGCAAGTTTTGCATTAACTATTCTCTACATGAACCACTGTATTCAACATTTGAAGTTTGGGGTTAAAATCAGATTCTGGTAGTGTAGGGAGTCTGTGATCCCTAGACAAAAATAAGATGTTCCAGTGTTCAGTGATTTCCTGCTTTTTTGAGAGCCCATAAATATTTTTGTTCACTAGACCACCTAATACTAAAATCTATATTTTACATAGGTACTTATAACATGAATAAATCTCATGTACTCTTATGATATTACTTAACATACACACAATGTAAAATATAGTGTACAGTATTTCTGAACATATATTTTTTATTTTTACTAATGACTAGAACATATGCTTGACCCTTAGACAGCTCTAGCATACCAGTGATTAGGCACCATTGAAGTGTGTGTGTATATGTGTGTGTATGATACACGTAATACTAATAATAATAATTCTACCTACCTAATTAGTGTGTACTTTTTGTTACACCAGTTCATGAATGAATGCAGTTCATAACCTTTATCTGTTAGTAAATATACATTAGCATGCACATAATTCTTGTATCACTCATTATTTAAATACTGTATTTTTGACTCGTCCTTTAATAAGGTTACCTTTATTTTTATGATTTTTTTTATATAACCATATATAACAAATATTGGAATGTACTGTGATCATTGAGGAATTAGGTTCCAAAGCTTTGGAATGTGCACAAAATTCATAGTGCCTTTATTTTGTTTAAATAAATTTTTTTATTTCTTGAATTACACGAAAATGGTCATTGCATTATCGTAACTGTTTAGTAAGATAACTTGCTTCGGTTGTTAATACAACATCTCTGTTGGTATTAATATGAGGAGTCATATTGCACAATTGTGAAAATGAGCATTTTGGTGACAATGTGTTTACACCCTTTTATGTGAATGATAATCCAGATACTAACTGTACTTAAGTACTGATCTGTGTGTGTGTGTTGATCCGTTTTTCAGAAAACTAATATTTTATGTAAATTACAAAACTTGTACGAATTGTAAATTATATTGAGAAATATGTTTTGAGTATGCACTACTGTATTTAAATAGCAAAAGGGTGAGATTTTTACTCTAACAAAGCTTTGTAATGAGTTGACATGGAAATGATATAAATTAAACTGATAGAACATTTTCAACAATGAAACAATTCAAAGTCACTCGGTACAGTATTTCCTACAAATCAGGAAAGATTTTTGTATGTTAAATATATGCTTTTAATTAATTTTGTTATACTATTGTGGTTAACAAAATGTTATCTAGTTCATCACTATGGTTTTAATACACAGTACATTACCATGTACTGGGTATCATACCCACAAGCTGATATATCTGGCAGTAGTAACAGAGAAAACTGTTTTGAATGCCTTAACTAGAAAGGCTTGCATAGTAAATTTGGTCAATTGTACAACCTGAAGAGCAAAATGCATAACTTAGTATTTAAAAAAATCAATAAATACAATAAATAGTAATGTAATTTCCTTATTATTCCACTGCCACAAGTGAGCTCTACAATCTATGGGGTCAATTCAAAATACTGGTTCAGTATTTTTTCACCGTTATTTAAATAAAAATGTACAACTTCTCTTGATACGCATGGTAGTACAGTTGGGTTCTCTCTCAACTCAATTGGGGGTCCTAGGTTCAAATCCCCGGCAAGACAAATGGTTGTCAGAGTACTTACTTACCTAGCAGTAAATAAGTACTCAGGAGTTAATCAACTGTTGTGGGGTTGCATCCTAGGAAAGGTCAGTAATTCAGCCTTGGGGGGGATCGTAATATAAGCCTAAAGTGTATATATGTACACAAGCTGCCTGTCCCCGATAAAATGAATTATTATTATTATTAGTCTACAAACAACCACTAACCCTTTCACTGTGTAATTGGATTTCAGAAGGATGAATCATAGAGAAGAGCTTTGAACATTGGAAGGCAAGGCGAGTTCTTTCTGAGAAAAGAATACTTTGTCATTAGGTGACACGCATAAAAAACAATCCATTCATAAATTGGGAATGTCAACTGCATAGAATGCGTTTTTGCTGTGTTTTGAACATGGGTTGCAAGCAAGATAACTTTATCATTGAACTTAGATTAAATTTAAAAGCTTTTTTTTTTTAATTGGCTCAAGACACATCAAACACTGACACAATTGTTTTAAAACAGTAAATCGGTAATGAATCTAGAGTATATAATATAACTTCACAGCAAAGGAAGTGAACCTTACTGTAGAACTTTGATTGATCGACTAACAGTTACTCACCTCGTAGAATGTCTTGATTATCAGGCTAATCGGAGATTTTACTTTACTATTCCTTCAAGTTCTATGTTCCTCGGTGAATGGGATTCCATTGACATCATTGATCTTGTCTTTTTCTCTAATACTAGTATCTTGAATGATACCTAGGAACTTTTGAATATTGACTCAGACGTGCTATGCTATAGTTGTAACGGGTTTGGTGCCTTCTTTCGATAGACTGATTTTGCAGCCAAAAGATCCAGTAGAGTACTGTATTGTGGTTGGATGTTGACTGCAAGGAGAAGTAGACATCCCAGGAGTAAAAGTGGAAGCTGAAGAGTTCTTAAGTATGACACAACATAGGAAGTATGAGGATGAAATTAGGTACTTTTTGTTTTTATTTTTGAATAAGGCGTAGGTTGGACAGTTTTTAATTCGTTAGGGAGATGAGTTCCATAGACTAGGTCCCTTTACTTGCATAGTGTTAAACAGATTTAGTTTAACTCTGGGGATATTAAAGTGAGATTTATTTCTGATGTGGTGATTATGGGTTCGATTACATCTGTCAAGGAAGAGTTTCAGATCAGGATTTGCAATTAAGAACAGGGTTTTGTATATGGCAGAAAAAGTGTGGAGTGAGTTTGTTTAGCATGTTTAGGGACTTAAACAGGGGGGCTGAGTGCTCTCTGAAAACAGAGTTTGTTATTGTTCTGATAGCAGATTTTTACTGGATGATGATGAGCTTGAGGTAGTTTGCAGTGGTTGAACCTCATGCATAGATATTGTATGTAAGATAGAGATAGATTAGCGCATAATATAATGAGAGGAGAGCAGAGTTAGGAAACATAATATCTGATTTTGGAAAGTATACCAACGATTTTTTAGACTTTCTTGGTTATGTGTTGTATGTGGGTGCTGAAGTGGAGTCTCTTATCTATGTATAGGCCAAGGAATAAAGAGTACTTAAGAGCTAAACCCCCATTATTGTTGTGACAAATAAGTTTTTTCTGCATTTCTTGTTGTTGAAATCCATGATTTCATGCGTGTCCTCTCTGAATTCTATTTCCAATAGCATCCTCGATGATGTCCCTCATTTCCTCGTATATTCCCCGTCGGTATGCTGGGGAATACCGATGTAACTATCTATATGGTTCTCTGTGGCTAGGTTTTTTTTATTATTATTATTATTATTATTATTATTATTATTATTATTATTATTATTATTTTCTACCACAGAAGTGGCCACACATTTACAATGCTAACCAGCATATATACATTTTCTTCTACAGTAGCTAAGAGTCACCATGGCTAGGGTCCACGGTTATCTTGAGATGATTTCAGGGCTTAGCGTCCCCACGGCCCGGTTCTCGACCAGGCTTCCATTTTGTTACACATCCCCAGGAAGCAGCCCGTAGCAGCTGTCTAACTCCCAGGTACTTATTTACTGCTAGGTAAACAGGGGCATCAGAGTAAAAGAAACTGCCCATTTGTTTCCGCCTCCGCTCGAGATCGAATCCGGAACTTCAGGGTTACGAATCTCGAGCGCTATCCGCTTACCCGTCAGGCCCCCTGGGTAGGGTCCACGGTAGCTTGGGTTCACTTTGGTCAGTTTAGATAGGATGTACGGTGATAATGCTTCACTGTGGATAAGGGCCAGTGTGGTTAAGATCTATGTAGCATGGCTAGGGGTAAACAGTGGTTTGTTCCTGCAAGGCTGGTTAGGTCTCACCGTGGCTTGGGTCAAGCTCTTCACGTCAACAGGCACTCCACCTTGACTGCTCGTGTTATAATTAAATTTGTTTAGTGTGGCTGGAGCGGGCAGTCGGCGCCCGCATGCTCTCTCCCTCTACACCCACCACCGTGCAAAAGCTTCAAAGAGGCATTTCCATCAATAAAAGTCACTAATGACCATTGTTTACGTTCATCATGTTGATTCCACATGAAAAGGAAATATCCCATCCCTATATGGAATACTGTAATATACTATAATAACTGCCTATACAAATGTTCAAAAAAATACTGTAATAAAAGAAATAAACGTAGACCTACTAATAATAGCTAAATAGCTATTACTAACAAAAATAATAAGCTACAGACTATCCTAAGCACACCTAAGTGAAGACTGGAGCAAGAGGGATATATTGATGGACATGCACATAGGGGCTGAAGGTCACCAAGATGGCAAGGCACTCGCTCCCTTCACCTCGCATATTGAACTTAATCCACCAACAAAGACCATAGTTCTACGGTTCTCGGAGCGTCATTCTTCACTGATATGAAAATCTCATGGAATTACTCATACTTTATATATCGTGAAAGCAACATTTATTATGGATGTGGGAACTTGTATAGGTGTAAACACGCCTGTCCGATGATGATATTCTTCTCACACAAACAATATGTAGCTTTTGGCATTTGCACAAAAGGATCGAGCTTTATATAAATGCAGGTGACGAACGAATAGTTTTACAAAGGTCCTGAGGTGCAATGGTCAGCACAATACGTCGAGTTACAGCTGAAAGGTCGCCTGGGTTCAATTCCCGCTGCAAGACAGAAGCGTTTGGGCAAGGCCCCACATGAAGCTATATGTAAATGCCTATGAAATATTGATCGCATCTCCTCTGTAGCGCTGGGAAAAGAGATTCTTAAGGAGAGGTCGATTACAGAATACAGCATGCATTGTGGTTTGGGCAACGGTGTAGTCAATACAACATTGTACATAGGCTATTTAATATATATACATCATCTTCTAGTCCTACCGTTATAAAAAAAATATTATCCAGCTCCAGCCTCATGAAGATGATGATGATGTCATCTTCAGGTGGTGCTAGTTTAGTTTAGTTCATTTATTATGCGCCCCATACCCATCCTATGGGCGGTAATGGAAAGGGTTACAGAGGTACATCAACACATCCTCCTGTTATGATAGTACTCCTTGCAACTATGTGATCAATTGTACCAATATTTACCTGAATTTACATTTGGGCCTATAACACTAGTGGCCTCGACGAGGACAGTAATTATCCGGCGGCTTGTCTCAGATACTTGTCCTGATTTTTCGACCAAGTAGTTACTATAACAATCTCATCACTACACCTGTTAACCTTTTGTGGGATGATGTCATTTCAGTATCAAGACTCTATAGACTCAAGACTCTATAGCTATAGACTCTATAGCTCTAGCGGGCTCCCTCACTTAACGCGGACGCTCTATTTCTATAATGTTAGGTTCATGTCTGCTCTATGATTATTTCTGTGGCACAGTTCTTACACGCCACGTCCTCATTCAGTAGTTATCACTCTTCGGTAATTAGACTTGTTCCAGAAAGCTCTATAATTACTGTTAGCATTCTGTCTGATATTAATGTGGTCTTTCAGTTATGTTATCATGTGGGTTACAGTCTAATTTACGTATTAACATTTCAGTTTTATATTTTACCGTCTTGTTAGTTTACCTGTTGCACTCTTTACTGTAATTAGGCTAGTTCCTAGCGAAGGCTAATTACAGTTATTGATATTAATTATATAGGCTATATACATTACTATTTAGTTTACAGTTAATAAGAACATAAGAACATAAGAACAAAGGTAACTGCAGAAGGCCTATTGGCCCATACGAGGCAGCTCCTATTCTATAACCACCCAATCCCACTCATATACTTGTCCAATACTCCAATGCTACTTTATATTACTATATTTACCTCCTATAATTTACTTATTTTACTTATTATTACATTAATGTAATCAAAATTGTTAGCCTCAAGTGAGTATCGTTCACCGTAACCAAAAATATATGTTAATATATAATACAAATTAAAAGAACATGATACTGCCCAATTAACTAGCCGTTTAGGACAAAAAAAAAGTAGAAATTTACAAGATGTTACTCGATTTTGTTAATTAATTATACACCCCATATTCACCCCGTGAGCGGTAGTGCAAAAGGTTACAGAGGTACAAAATGGACTCTGATCCCCCAAATCCATTTCATATACTATATAACCAATGTCAAAAGTCAACATTCTTAGCCCAAGGCCGCGATGTGCCGTTATGCCTTACTCAAAATGTTCGTATATATCTATATAATACTTTATAGCTATAGTTATCATTTATATTTTTTAATATTTAGCATATCGTAAGCCATAGATTAAGGTGCCACATATAGTTATAACCTCTATATTAGACAGCTTAACCTATAGCCTATAGATTCATTTATATCGCTAAACAGGTATAATCA